GTCATTCAGCTTGACAAAAAATTTCAATTCGCGTTTGTACAATGAATTTAGGCGTTCAGCCCTTGATGATCTTTTGACTCGACACGCTTACAACGGTTTCAACGAGCTCATGGAATTCTATCGGAACTGTCTGCTCCACCGTCGACCCATCCCTGACCTCGTGATGTACGACATGGTCCATCTTTCACAAGATCAAACATCGGACTACCACACCCTCATCTCCAATACGATCCATGAAACCATTGCCAGTGGAAAGATGAACTCAAACAACCGGTTGAGAATCAGCAAATATTTCAATACCCAACCCGGCAAGATGGCGGGAGAAAAGTTATCATGAGCCCTTTCGCATTTTTTTCTGAATTTTGCTTCTTCGCGACACGTCTCCTTTTACTGCTTGTTCATATTTCATGACTAGCATTATTCCTTTTTTTTTTTTTTTTTTTTTTTGCATGCATATTCGCCAATCTCTTCTTTTTGAGTTCCAAGTGACCCCTTCATTGCAATTACGCGGTCTGGTTTCTCGGTCAACTCGAAACTACGGAGTTTACGCATCTCCTTTTTTCTGTTTAATTTTCATTGCTTTTCAGTCATGGGAGATTCTCAAAACGTTCTGGCGTCCGGGCATGATTTTACTGGCAGTCTCTCTTTCTTTCGCTGCCTGCCGCTACGGTGTGCCGGGCCCCCAAAATTCGTTTTTTTTTTCGACCCTTGACATAGATATTTCCACTACTTTTTTTCTTGTTTCCTTCCTGAGGTTGTGGCTTTCCTTTATCGATCCAGTTAATCTGCGATCCAGGTCTTTCATCGGCCCTGGATCTTAACAAGTATCAGCATGGCAATGGCCCAGAGAAAAGCACATGTTCTAAAAGTCTTGTCTGAGGTTATCTGCGTGTTTCGAGTATCGTTTATGGTGCCAATCGGAGAAAATGAATCCAGCATATCTACATTGTCGATCTCTTCCTCCCTGGGAGACCATCCATTCGGGCTACCCAGTGCCTCTTTGCACACAACTTTTGAAGTGGATTGATCCATTTCAGTGCTTTTTTTCCTTCTTTCTGGGGTCCCTGCACAGAAGGTTTTGTTTTGTCTGCTGTGTTCTTTGCATAAACTGGGCTGCTGAGGCCCTTGTGGAGTAATATGATTGATATGATTGATATGCATACTATGTACTCCATGATATTGAGCGTGATATGTAAGAGAATGTTAATTGTGATATGTGTTAGTTATAAACCATGTATATAATGATAGTCATCTCATTATATGAAGCAAGTCGAGTCTGATGGAATGATGTCGATGGTTCCTGCCTCAGGCACCCAGAGCTTTGCAACCTTCCAAACGGAGACAAGTCAATTCCGATCCGGCTCTAACAGCTCCCCTTCCGCTCTCTAGCTCTGTCCTGCGCATTCAAAACACCGTTCTTCTTTTCCTTAAAAACCCATTTACATTTAAATCCACCTCTTGATCAAGATGGAGGGCGCATCCCGCCAAACGTCAAGGCTACTCCGGCCTCGTGGCCAGAAACTCCTTCCCCAACGTCTTACACGAAGCTCCGCAGCCACCGCCACACCTTTCACCCAGATCCAACGACGAACACTTTCAAATTCTCCTCGGTCGCTTGCTCCAGAATCACTTCTCAACAGTTTCAGAACTGGTGGTTCATACAATGAGGGACCCACCAGCTATTTCTCCAACCGCCAAACGCTCCCCGCGAACACCGTTGTGCGATTCGTGCCACAACAGACAGCATGGATCGTCGAGCGCATGGGAAAGTTTGATCGTATCCTAGAACCTGGTCTTGCGATCCTTGTGCCATTCTTGGACCGAATTGCCTACGTGAAGAGCTTGAAGGAGGCCGCTATTGAGATCCCCAGCCAAAACGCCATTACCGCGGATAATGTAACCCTTGAGCTGGACGGTGTGCTATATACGCGCGTTTTCGATGCGTACAAGGCAAGGTAGGTGATTTATAGTGATTCTTGGGTGTTATGTGAAATTGGACATGTCGGAACAAGGCAATCGCTAATACGTCAATCGTCAATTCTAGCTACGGAGTCGAGGACGCAGAATACGCTATTTCGCAACTCGCGCAGACGACTATGCGTTCCGAAATTGGTCAGTTGACCCTCGATCACGTTCTTAAGGAACGCGCCAATCTCAATACAAACATCACCAAAGCTATCAACGAGGCGGCACAGGAGTGGGGTGTCGTCTGTCTCCGTTATGAGATTAGGGATATCCACGCGCCGGAGGCCGTCGTTGCTGCCATGCACCGCCAGGTTACTGCTGAGCGCTCCAAACGAGCTGAGATCCTCGAGTCTGAAGGTCAGCGCCAGAGCGCGATCAACATTGCCGAGGGTCGCAAGCAGTCTGTTATTTTGGCTTCTGAGGCTCTGCGCTCTGAGAAGGTCAACCACGCTTCTGGTGAAGCCGAGGCTATCAAGCTTAAGGCCGAGGCTACCGCGCTTGGCATTGACGCTGTTTCTCGGGCCATCGAGGAGGGCGGCGAGAACGCTCACAATGCTATTAGTCTGAGCGTTGCTGAGAAGTACGTTGCGGCTTGGTCTAACCTGGCACGCGAAGGCACGGCTGTGGTTGTTCCCGGTAATGTCGGGGACATGGGTGGTATGATTGCCAATGCCATGGCTGTCTACGGCAAGGTCAGCGAAACGCAGGCCAAGGGATTGGCAAAGAAAGCTCTTGGAGTTGAAGCTTCTCGGTCATCAGAATCGCCGCAAAATAGCCAGGTGCCGACCTTCTTTGAGGAGCATACTGAGCAGAATATACAGTCTAATGTCGCCTCGCAAACTGCGGACGAGGGATTTGAGACGGTCGCCGGCGAACACAAGAAATAAGCGTCTGTACTTCACCCAACCTAAACGAGAACGACGACTCCTCTCTTGATTTGCTTTTATTTCCCTCACCCTTGTGTCTTTTTGTTCTGACACCTCCACTCAGCTCCTTGGATGCATGGGCTGTCTCTACATTCTTGTATTGGGCTCTTTACATTTACGCACCACCTCCCATCTCCATTTATTTACTTTTCCTCTACTGCCTATGGGCTTCCTATTGTTTTCCGGCATTTCTTTAAGAGTCTTCCCAAAAGCACGAGCTACGCTGTGCATGTGGCATCGAATTCGCCATATTGGTTCCTGTATGTGTACATAAAGCAATTGTTGATCAGGGAGCCTGTGAGGAAGGAGAATATCTCAATGTACAAGTATCAGTATTTTGCATCTTTCTAGGATTATAGGTCGGTTGTGAACGGTCGGATATAAATTGTGTCAGATCAGCTTTTTGGTTTCTCTTTGGTTTTCATCACTTGATTTTTGCGGATCGAAGTTAGATTTCAGCATTGAATCATGCTGATTCTACCTCGTCTCTTCTTCAAAAGCTGTATCCTACATTTACTACAGATTATTACATAGTTATAGAATCCGAGGACCTGTCAAATCGACGCCTGAAAAGGCCGCCTTCCTTGTAATTCCAGACGGGGCAACATCTTGGTCGCCATACTCGACAGGCGTGCACTCGTACCAGTCAGTTATCGCCAACTCCCACCTGCTCTGCTTCTCCGCCCTGCCTGTCAAGCAAGGGAGCCAATCCAACGGAACATAAAGCTTTAAACAAGTCCACTCTCGACTCTGTGCAAGTCTACCCAACGGCGCAAGAATATCATCTATCTTGTCACCGTCTATAGTCCCTCTCACCTTCTCCCAGGCCGGCATATGCATCGTCAAGCGCAACTTCTGAACTTTGCAAAAGCAATGCTCAAACAGATCAAATAAGGCCGGGTAGACCCTTTCCCAAGCCGAGGCCTCTCTTTCATCTAATTTGTACCAGAAATCAAAAGAGATGTCCATACACGTGATAAGAGACGAGCAGGCCGGCGATAAAAGCCTAGACATGATAAACGGAGCGTCTAATCCGTTCCGTAGAACAAAGACATTCGTCCCGTATAGCACTGTCAATGCCTCTTCATAGCTGGGGAATAGTATAAGCCATGCTCAGCCTACATCCAAAAAGGAAACCAACACCCAAGACTCCTGATCAAGACTCACCCGATCTGACAACACCTCAACCACTCTACGCCCCCAAGTTTCGTCCTCGCCGGCGCGCTCTTCAACCCCTCGACCCTGTTCGCATTCCTCTCATCCTCACGGCCCCAACACCGGTCATCAACAAAAGATCCACTCCGCTGGCAAACACCATGCCACCAATCCCAGCGCTTCCCGTCCCGTCCTGGTTTCGGATGAAATGGCGACGCGAACATCCACCCGTGCTCGATGTGTACGCGGCGATTGCCCATTAGCTCAATGTAGATTAGTCTCCGGACTTCTATTGGGAGCTGGAAGAAGTGACTTGTTTGTTGATGGTTGCATTGTCGGGTGTTGAGCTTGAGAATGCGTTGGTCTGCTGCTGGGATTGGTAGTTTCCATCCATTGAAGGGGTCGTCGTTGACCGAGCAGGTGGAATCGGAGATTCCGATTGCGTTTGGGGAAACACTTTTGGGCCTGGTGTACGCATCTTTCTCTTTGTGTTTCCTTTGGAATAATCTATAGATTTTGGGGGCCATTCTTGGTTTAAGCTGTTATGCTGGGGAGCTTTGTGTGTGTACGGGTGTGGGTGGATGAGGTGAGTGCGTGGCAGAAGCTGCTACGGAACCATGTAACTATGAGGAGCCGTGACTTACTGATGTGCCGAGAGCCGCGCTAGTAAGATCACATGCGACACCGAATACGCCGACATGCCTAGAGTTTTAGCCCATCGTATGTTGGTTATGTTTAACTATGTAGCTAGAGATTTGATGTGAAGCGCCAACCTACTTGCCAAGATCGACGGTGCGCAGAAACTAGTTTTAACAAATTTACAGTAGAGATGGAGGTTCCTAAAACAAGTGCATTGTTAACAGCTGTTAGTAAAAAGGCTGTGCAAACCCTAGTTAATCCAAACTAAACACAGAATGGAGAGCAACGCACCTGAAAACGAAAGGTGGAATATAATCAATCAGTAGAGCCTAAGGATTCAGGAATAGGTTCAATATCAAACCTAATCTCAATTGAGCAATGTACATCCCAGGTCACAATCCTAGCAATATAATACGTACCTCTAGGAAAGATCTCCAGAACCAGATACACCGCGCACTTCCCAACACGCGTACCTAGAAGACCTTGGTACTCGGAGGTATTATACTCCCAGATCAGCGGTGCCGCACAAACCGGAGGCCAGGTGAGATCATTTCGCGAGGAATAAAGAACTTTCTCCACGAAATTCTTAGTCTCGATATTGACGATATCACAAACATAGAAGTGTCGCAGACTCTGGGGCTCAGCAACCTCCTGCATATGAGCTCGAGCAATCTGCGAAAACTGTGGCCCGTCACTTCTGAATATCCCCTCGGCGATGATCAATCCCTTTCCAACTAGGATGTCATATATGTTTTCGCAGCCAGCAAGCCCGAGCTCACCCCCTGCATAATTCTGCGTTAGTGTCTGGTTGTATACCGCACCATTGGTATATCCCAGTGCGAATGTATTCTCCGCAACCTGGAATGGGATGTTATTATGGCTGGTACGAACGTACCAGTGTGAAGTTAGAAGGTCGTCTACTGTCAGGGTGCTGGGCTGGATTTGGCATGTAGGGTCTGTGGAGTCTTCGATCCATCGTTGGCGTATAGCTCCTTCATTTTGGATCTTGCCATAGCGCCGTGCTGGGGTGGAAGTAGCTGGAGGTACGTCTGGACTCGTGGTTGGAATCCCTACGGGACGACTGGGGGGAACCCAAGACTGCTCTGAAGGTGCCATACTGATGTATCAGTACTGCATGTCGATGATTTCGAATGGCTAGCTTGGGATACAGATCAGACGACGGACTGATGTGTGCCATATATAGTAAATATGTATCGACATAAAGGACCTCATTGAGTTGTGATAGATGTCCATGACAAGAAAAGAAGATCATGAAACAAAGACAACATTGACCTGGAAGAGAAAAGGACAAAGGCAATGTGGGCAATGTAGATGGCTTACCTGAGAGTCTCGACAAAGAATGAAGAACTCTGTTTGAAAAGCTTTGTGCTTCTTTGTGAAAACACATATTTGTTCGAAAAAGACAATCCCAACTTGAACAGCAATATAAAGCTAGATCTTTCCCACCGTTTTGAGTATTGCTCATCATCTCCCACCCGACAATTTGCTAGTTCTCACCCGCAACAATGTCTCTTCTTACTAAACCCAACCACCTGACCTACGAACAGCATTTTGAACGAGAATGCGAGTTATTCCAGGATGCTCTACTCCGCGAGGCGCGCTCCCTCCATCTATTGGAAGATTGCCGCGCAGAAACAATTCAGGTCATTTGTGACCTGATCGTTTATCTGGGGATCATCGCACAGCTCGCTGAGACTATGGCCCGGAAGTCCCGTATGTGTCCAACTGTCCTGATTAACCCCCCAGGCTATTTCCTCGGTGAGTTCCAGGACTTTTGCCGCGCGAGGATCCTGCCTGGTTTGGTTAGGTCCTTAACCTGTCTTAAAGAGTCGACTACAATCTATCGCGATATCAACTACACAGTTGCTGGTCAGTTGGAGGCGGCTCATGAGGAGATGGCTTTTATCTTGGATAGTCGCGAGTAATCTGTTGCATTGGCTAGACGGATAAATTGGTTCATTCTGGTTCGTATTCGAAGTTGATTTCCGTATCTTAAGATGCCCAGAACAAAATATTGTTGTCAACAAGCTGGCATTTCGTGACCTACATCGGTACATGGCCCTGCTGGTTCTGCTCGCATGCCTCTTGCAGACTTGTAACCAGTTGCTCCGTAGTAGATACTACATTTCTCCCTTTCCCCTTCTAAATATCTTGTCTGTTAGATCAATCAAATGGCGGTTGATACATCACAACCTCATTTTCGAGATAATTTGAGAGGGATATATCTTTACTCTCGGTTACGCTTTATCTACATATTTTGAGTATACACAGGTCCTAGGAAAACACCATAAAGCGTCAAACAGCGTCATCATTTCCGAGACGTGGTAGTATTCTACAATAGGTTCACTGCCGGCCTAATCCTAATCATGCGCTTCCCCCACCTCAACCAGTATCACTGGTATATTAAGGCCCCTCCCCGTTTTTCTCTTAATTTCTTGTCTCCTCTATATTTTATCTCCTATAAAACATTCACCATGTCAGACTATAATCAATATGACACTCACAAAAGCCAAATTAGGGCTACCACTATTGCTCTCCTGATTACGGCTCCAGCGCGTCTAACTCGTACAGCTGCCACTACTCCAATATGTAAGTATCTGCTTTGAACAAGGCTGTCAACTATATGCATATATAGTGGATGAAAATAGTGTATTTCTGATTGTTTGTTCTAGTAATGGTTCCTACTACTATTCCAACCCCAATGGAAGCTTGACCTACACTGCCCCCTCTGGTGGATCCAGAGGATCTGGCAAGAAATAAATTTCCATATCATAATTTTGGCAGCTAATTGTTGTACCATGAAAGCTTGATTTATGTAGATTACCACTGACCGATGGATATTTGTGTTTCCTTTATGAACACGTATTTTGATGTAACTAACTAGTTGGAGTGAGTAAGGATATCTAGTGGAGAATCTTCATTCGATACTTCCATAGATTGCAGTACTTCTCCAAAGGAAATCATTAAGTACTTATCCACTTATCCCACAGAAGTTCTTCCCCTAGAAGCTTTAGTCTGTATTGTTTGGCTTTGTCACTATAGAGAGATCTATATGTTTCGCTTCTTATTCACCAAGGGATGAGGCTCAGATACCGAGACCCCAATATGCAACTCTGGAACTGAATTGGGAAAATATCATCTAATAGTACCTGAGTAATGTTTTATCCTTACGTTTCCACTATGATGTTCTATTAAAGACAAAGTTGTCTAGGTATACACTAAGTGGCTATACTTTCCAGTATAGTACCATGTTTGCCCTGTAACACTTTGTTTGATGAAACCATGAACCCAATAAGCAGAAAAAAAAAGTCTGCATGAGATAAAACATACATAATGATAGTGCTCACCCTCAAAAGAAAGCAATAAGTGCCAGCCCTTGCAGTGTAGTTCGAAAGACACTATCAACGCGGGAGCTCGGACCAGGCAAATCTGGAGATCGCGACTTTTGGATTCGCGCCCTTTTAATCTCCGGTCTTATCTCTCATCTTGACCTGAGCCTCATTTTTTGGTTTCTTTCTTGAATCTCTTGACCGAGGAACCCGTTTGTTTTGGCACTTGGTCCTGCCATGTTCCACATCAAACTCATATAAACACCGAAAGATCAGCTCCGACACGCGGCGCCGCTCCCCTCGTTACCCACGCTCCGCGCACATTGGTGCTAATACGGGTCGTACCACCTTATCTCGATACACGACCACTCAAACCATTAAGAAAAAAGCGAATAACCGTGAATTTGCTCCGGGACGGGCGCGATGCATATCATAAAGCCGGTTTGGCTCACACATGGAGGTACGGAGCTTGATCGCCCTGGTTTTCTTTGCTCGACATCGTCGGGACGGAGACATAGTGCTTTATGAGAGCAGAACCAAATTCATCCCATCAAAGGGCCAAATTTGCTAATTTCATTGCTCTGATATAGGTGAACGCAAGGACTTCGAGGTTTACAGCTGCGATGTCTCGCCAGATGGGAAGCGACTAGTCACAGCTGCTGGAGGTGAGCTCGACCCTTCTTCGCTTTGAGGTGGAGGTCATGAAGATCATGCGCCGCGGAAGGGAATTATCGCTGACATCTGGCTTTTAATTCGCTTTAGATGGCTACGTGCGAATCTGGTCAACAGATGCTATTTACGGCACCGGAACTCCCGAGCTTGAGGGCAAGCCAAAACAGCTGGCGTCAATGAGCAACCACTCAGGCACAATTCATACCGTCCGTTTTTCACCCAACGGGAAATACCTGGCGTCAGGCGCAGATGACAAGATTGTTTGCGTGTATACCCTTGACGCTAACCCTCCAACACACTCGTCAACATTTGGTATGCTTTGGACACACTGGATATGGAGAGACAGACACTGACATTTATGGGAAATCTTTTAGGCACTGATGAAGCACCCCCCGTTGAAAACTGGCGCACGATTCGGCGATTGATCGGCCACGACAATGATGTCCAGGATCTTGGATGGTCCTTCGACTCATCGATACTGGTCTCTGTTGGCCTGGATTCAAAGGTCGTGGTGTGGTCTGGTCACTCATTTGAAAAGTTGAAGACAATAGCAATCCACCAGAGTCACGTCAAGGGCATCACTTTTGATCCAGCAAACAAATATTTCGCAACTGCCAGCGATGACCGGACCGTTCGCATCTTCCGATTCACCTCCCCAGCCCCTAATTCTTCAGCTCACGACCATATGAACAATTTCGTTCTTGAGCAAACAATCACAGCCCCATTCGCCAATTCTCCTTTGACAGCCTATTTCCGTCGTTGCTCTTGGTCGCCTGATGGGATGCACATCGCAGCTGCAAATGCTGTGAACGGTCCTGTGAGCTCTGTGGCCATTATAAACCGTGGATCATGGGATGGTGACATCAATTTGATTGGACATGAGGCACCTGTCGAGGTTTGTTCGTTCTCTCCAAGACTTTATGCAACCGAGCCGCCCGGTAAGAAGCAAGCCGATGGGCAGCCTGTACCACAACACCACATTACCGTCATTGCTTGTGCCGGTGGAGATAAATCCCTTAGTATCTGGATTACGAGCAATGCACGACCGATTGTGGTTGCGCAGGAAATGGCTGCTAAAGCTATTTCGGACCTGGCATGGACTCCTGATGGCAAATGTCTCTTTGCTACTGCCCTAGATGGCACAATTGTGGCAGTCAGGTTTGAAGATGGCGAGCTGGGCTGGGCCACGGAAATGGAAGAGAATGAGAAATCACTCACCAAGTTCGGAACTAATCGAAAGGGCGCCGGTATCACAGAAACTACCGACAGCTTGTTGCTAGAGGAAAAGAGTAAGGCTGGCGAGATCAAGCACGTTGAAGGGAGAATGGGTGCACTGATGGGTGATGGCGCTGAACCTACCACCAATGGAGACAAAGCTCCTCAGCCATCAAATGGAGTCACACCTGCTCGGGGCTCTTCGCCAGCTCCCGAGGCTACGAAGACGCAGACCAATGGAACTCCAACATCTGCCGCCACAGATTCAGAGAAGCCTGATCCTTACAAAGCCAAGTTGGAAAGACTTAAGCAGCGTCCAACATACACCAAAGAGGGCAAAAAGCGCATCGCTCCATTACTAGTCTCCGGAGCTGGGGCCGGCGAGTCATCTCTCCCACAAGCCCGTTTGATGGCATCTGTCAGCAATCAGGTCAAGGCGGACGCCCCGACCACCATCGTTGACTTGTCAAAACCATTCGATGGTCTACCCAAGGGTGGTCTGACTGCGCTCCTTCTTGGAAACAAGCGCAAGCTGGCCCAAATAGAAGGCGATGAAGATGGCAGTGTAGAAAAGCGTGTGACACTTGCCGGTCAAAACGGTGCAACTCCCATCATGGCCAACACTCCCGACGGCCTTCTACCAGCTCAAGTTCAATCTGCCACGACTGGTCAACAGCCAACTCCAGATTTTATTCGCCCCGCTGTCACAAATCCTTGCATGTCGGTCAGTCAACTTCGTCTGGCAGTTCCCAAAATTCGTAGTCAGATTCTCCGCGCGCTAGATTCGAGCGGCAAACCGACGGAACAACCTGCCCCTGGTACAGACTCGGGCTCTACCAAGAGTCGTGTGGACGTGGTTTTCGAAGCTCGGAACCCATCGCCAGCAAGTCTGACCGGTCGTGCGGTGGACCGCGAGCCAGTACGGCTGACATTGTTCCGTGGAGACCAGCCGTTGTGGCAGGATTTCTTGCCGCGGACTGTCCTACTTGTGACTGGTAATCAGAGCATGTGGGCAGCTGGCTGTGAGGATGGATCAATCTATCTTTGGACACCGGCAGGTCGTCGTCTGGTAAGTGCGCTCGTTCTCGAGGCACAGCCTGTCATCTTGGAGTGCAATGGACCGTGGATCCTGTGCATATCCTCTGTGGGCATGTGCTATGTCTGGAATGTGAAGCACTTGTCTTCTCCTCACCCACCAGTCTCCCTGCAGCCAGTCCTGGATGCTGCAATCCATACCATGGGCGCGCACCCCACCGCTGCTCCCGCAGTAACAGACGCACGCATTAACTCAGAGGGCCGAGTCATCGTTTCTTTGTCTAACGGCGAAGGATACTCTTATTCTCCATCCATGTTCACATGGCAGCGCATCTCGGAAGCCTGGTGGGCCGTCGGCAGTCAGTATTGGAATACCACAGACGCACCCGTGAGCAATTTGCAGGCCAAGGACGCGCAGCAAGACAACAAGGATGCCAAGGCAGCTGTCGCAGCCGGCATCATTCCCTGGTTGGAGCGAAATACCACGAATGAGACCCTCCTTCGCGGAAGAGCATACTTCCTCCAGCGTCTTATTAAGGTTTTATTGTCACGCGAAGGGTATGAGACTTTCGAGTCCAGCGTATCAATTGCTCATCTCGAGAATCGCCTCGCTGCTGCTCTGTCCCTGGGTGCCAAGGAAGAGTTCCGGTTATACCTATCCATGTACGCCAAGCGCATTGGTGCTGAGGGTCTAAAACTGAAGGTCGAGGAGCTCCTGAAGGGCCTCATTGGCGGTCTTTTCGAGGACGAAGACGATGCCAGCGAGGGGGTCCTGAAATTGCAGGCTAATGAGCGCGACGGCCGTAACTGGCGCGAAGGATCCGATGATCTGTGTGGCTGGCCACGGGAGACATTGTTGAAGGAGGTGATTTTAGCACTTGGTATGTTTTAGTTCTTCGTGCCTCTCTTTTCCTAACGCTTCAATTACTAACACCCTTTCGTCTAGGCAAACACCGTGACCTTCAACGTGTTACAGTGCCTTATGCTAAGCTGCTGGATATGGTTGACACTACATCGGAGCATGGCGATGCAATGGATCTTTAATGATGGTTTCTCTCTTGCTACCTATACCTTTTCTTCTGTTTTTGCTGGCGTTCAATAACTTCGGGCTGGGTCAACCAAAAGGGTTTGCATTATTTATCTCTGCTGAGGCGGGATTGGAGATGATATATCTCATTTTCATGGTGTATTTGTATCATAGGTTCTCTTCTGGGCTTTCTTATTTAAGTCAACCTGTTCCCATCTTGCTACGATCTAGTCTTGCTCTACCTAGGTACTATAATAACCCTCGACACACAGTATTACGTACAGGGCACCCACATCGATGTGGTGACGTCGTCAGGGCTTGACTTTCACGTGAGCGGTAACAGCTCTGCAGGCAGAAAATTTTAAGATATCTGGCGCGTACCTCTACAACATTGCTTTTTGATAGCTAAATACGCATTCATTTACTCTCTTTTTACTCATTGACCTTGTCCACAATTTCTGTGGGCATCCGCAATCACGTCTTCCACTTCCTCAATCTTTTTCCTTCGTATCGTCGATCGATCCGCAGCTGGTTCTGCATTTGGCGCGCTCCATCCTTGTTCCCGCTTCCGCCTTTCGACTTCCCCCCACCTCCCACCTCTCTTCTGTCGCTTCTACTCAAGCAAGAAGAAAAAATCCAATAAAATGCCTCCCAAGAAGCAGATAGTCCAGGAAAAGGTCCTTTTGGGCCGTCCAGGAAACAACTTGAAGAGCGGTATCGTATGTGAGCTAGGCCCCCACCCTTTTTTTTTTTCCCCTTTTTCCACACAGCACAGTCCACTTTTTAACTCCCGAAAAAACTATTTAAACCCCCTTGCCCCCTTTCTCCCACATTTTTTTTTCTTCTTTTCTTCCCAACCATGATTGACTAACAATATGGCTTCAGGTTGGTCTTGCCAATGTCGGCAAGTCGACACTCTTCCAGTCCATCACCAAGTCCTCCCTCGGTAACCCGGCCAATTTCCCATATGCCACCATTGACCCCGAGGAGGCCCGCGTCATCGTTCCCGATGAGCGGTTCGACTGGCTCTGCGAGCACTACAAGCCCAAGTCGCAGGTTCCCGCTAACTTGACTGTGTACGATATTGCCGGTCTCACCCGCGGTGCCTCGACCGGAGCCGGTCTGGGTAACTCTTTCCTGTCGCACATCCGCGCTGTCGATGCCATCTTCCAGGTGGTTCGCTGCTTCGATGATGCCGAGATTATCCACGTTGAGGGTGACGTCGATCCTTGTCGTGATCTGACCATCATCAACGAGGAACTCCGCATCAAGGATATCGAGTTTGTTGAAAAGGCTCTTGACCTTCTTAGCAAGCAGACTCGTCGTGGTGGACAGTCTCTGGAGATGAAGAAGCTCAAGGAAGAAGAGGCTACTACTGGCAAGGTCCTTCAGTTCCTGAAGGATGGCAATGACATCCGCAAGGGTGACTGGAACCCTAAAGAGGTATGTTGAAATTTTTCTTCTTCTCTCCCCCACTTAACTTGCCCTTTATGTCCACAACACCTCCTTACCTGATGAATAAGAGCACTGCTCGAAATTAACCCAGCTCGTTGAGTGCCCTCATTAAAAGGATACTCACAATCCGAGGGCACCTTGAGAAAAAAAGTTATATGCTGAAATTTTGGAGTCCACTTCTACATGATTACATCACTCAAACTCTTCGAGAGAATTTTCATGCTAACCAAATTGGTTATAGGTCGAAGTTATCAACCCTCTGTTCCTTCTCACTGCCAAGCCCGTTGTGTACCTGGTCAACCTGAGCGAGAGAGATTACATCCGTCAGAAGAACAAGTATCTCCCCAAGGTCTTCGAGTGGATCAAGACCAACTCCCCCGGTGACCCCATCCTTCCCGTCTCAGCTCAGTTCGAGGAGCGTCTGACCCTGATGCACGATGATGCGGCCGCTGAGGCTGAGTGCAAGACCCTGGGCACCAAGTCCGGTCTGCCCAAGATCATCACTACTATGCGTCAGTCCTTGAACCTCGGTAGCTTCTTCACCACTGGTGAGGACGAGGTTCGCCAATGGACCATCCGCAAGGGTATCAAGGCTCCCGCTGCTGCTGGTGTCATTCACACCGACTTCGAAAAGACCTTCATCCAGGCTATCGTGTACAATTACGCCTCTCTCCGTGAGTACGGCGATGAAAACAGCATCAAGGCTGCTGGTAAGATTATGACCAAGGGCAAGGATTACGTCGTCGAGGATGGCGATATCCTGCTCATCAAGGCTGGTGCTGCTAAGCACTAGGTGCACATAGACAATAGTTCTTTAAATGATACACCAGTGTTGAGTCTTCATATATTTTTTCCAACTGTAGATTTTGATTTTTCTCGTACGCCAATTTGACTTGCCTGGTCTAACTAGGTCATCATTGCTCACTCCTGTTGTATCCGCTAGGTTCAATATGTTTGTTTTTGCACAATATACCCTATTCGCGTTCCGCATATAGCTCAATTACCTGAATATGTGAAGACCAGTCTATCATGGCCCATATTCATGATGTATTATCATGCATTTTATTGTATTCTGAGCCATTTAGTATCAAGTAAAAAAATGCAAAGCCATCTATCGATCACGTGACAACATCCCCGCGCATCCCACTTCCGTATCAAGAGCTTGATTCTTATATTATCACAACCTTAACCAGCATCATGTTTAAGAAAGAGTAAGCCAAACCTTCAATCCACTCACATCAATCCTACAGCTGGGCCAGTGGCTTGTTCAGAACCTCCTGCCTGTCAAATGGGAGCACACATCTTCCTCTGTTTCGAGGCACAGCAGGGACCGCAGGAGCTGTCCAACAATCCAGATCAAGACATGCATAACTCCTATGGGATAGCCATAGCCACCAATTATTCTTTAAAACACCAGCTAACCTATGTGTTCCATCTAGTATTCCCCCAAGCAACCGGTCTAAGGTCAAGTCCTCAGTGCAGCGCGGCCTGCGCCAAAAGCTGCTGGAGACATACCCAGGCTTCGAGCCCTTCATTGAAGATGTCATGCCCAAGAAGGCCTCATTGGAAGCTGTGAAACTGTACAGTCCCCGATCCCCCATTTTTTCGACTTCCAATCCCAGCAACGTCATCTCCAACTTTCAACATATGCCATGCACTATATCCCGCAGACCCCAAACTAACAAAACCCCACCACCCCAGACCCGATCGCGTGACCCTCTATACAATAGATTCAACCCCCCTCTTCTTCCAACCCATCGACGGACCCCCAGTTCCACACCTCCGCCTCATCCACGCCTACCCCTCCGCCGTCCCAACAATCCAGATCGACCGCGGTGCCATCCGCTTCGTGCTCTCCGGCGCAACACTCATGGCTCCCGGTCTCACCTCCCCCGGCGGCCGTCTACCCGACGCCGAGCATGCGCTTGAGGCCGGACAGATCGTTGGCGTCAAGGCTGAGGGCAAGGAGGAGATTTGTATGATTGGTATGCTAAAGGTTGGCACTGAGGAGATTAAGAGTAAAGGGAAGGGAGTTGTTATTGATGAAGGCCATTATCTTGGTGATGGGCTTTGGAGAATGCATTTGGATTAGGCATGGTCTTGTTTCAAAAGCATGGAATTCATTGGGCTGGGGTTGGGGTCTTTTGATTTGGCTTGGAACTATACCTCTCTGCACGTATGGTGATGATTACATGTATGTGTTGGATGATTTGAAATGAAATATCCCCTCTGGACGAGGATCCTGATTGGTTCAACAGAGGTATTAAGTGAATGTACATGTAGCTAGCTTGTTGTATTGCTGTAAATGTTGTTTTTGATATATGACTTTGTATTCCGTTCGAGTGTACTTGACTCTCACGCACCACCCTCATCTTTTCTATATACAGTTGCTCAAGCTTTCTTCGATCACACTTCCCCGTCTTTTCTAATGGAATTTCAGCAAGCAGCTCGACGTGAGGTACCGGAAGATGAGGAACGTAGTGGACGAATGCTCGTGCTACGGCCTCCGGGTCGATATTAACACATTGCGGTACAATATAGGCAACCGGTATTGGCCCCGTATCGTCTCCACTTCTCAACAACAAAACCTAGTTAAGTAGGAAAGGTCAGATACAAGAGATCTGGTAAGCCAGAATGCATGCATAACACAGCATGCATGAGTAACACACGGCATGCACGATAGGCTTTAGAAGTATAAATGTTGCTATTATGTACAAATTATGCATGGTGATATCTCTAGTTGTCCGTCGGAGCCTCTGCAATAATGAAACCTCGCTGTAAATATTTTCTCACAAAAGTGCCACTGAGGTATAGTCCTGGGCACGGAGTAGAGTATTTGCGCTAGTGGAGATAGGATATATTAATTACACTGCGTGATTTATTATTCAGAGCCTAACATTCAAAGCAACCCTAACCTTGAAGTTTATAAAAGCTCCCTGTCCTGCAAAGCGATCAACTTTAGAACTTTATATGAGCTTGGAGTCTTCTCGCCCAAGCCGTTCACACCTTACGGGACGATGCTATTAAAAGATCAAGTAGTCGGACGTATTGCAACTAACTACCCTCGATAAGTTTATCCAATACTTAAAGCAACATTAACATAGCTTAGCTATCATCGCTAATCTCCATCTTAAATAACATACATCCAATTTCGTACGTCCCGCCATGTTTATCACCACTGTCGGTATCACAGCCATTTGCGATTTCCCCCCACACATCCAGACAATCATTATATGGGACCTCTAGTGTATCTGGGCAGTTGTCAAGGGTAACCGTCATATTGGCACTATCCCAAAGCTCATTGTAAGTGTCTGGAATTTGCGAAAACTTACGACAGCTGGAGCAGAGTAACTGGTCCCGTGAACCTTTCTCACTCCCACAAAAGGAACGTCCATTTCGAGGTTTTCCGACTGCGCAAATCCAGTCAGAGATCCACCACCGACAGTGATAATACTGTTGGAATCTGTGCCCATGCTCTGTGGAATGCGCTCTTCAAGTTTTTCCTTATTTGAATTCCCCGCTGCAATAACCACCACCACATCAAGCTGCTCTAGTTCTGAAATAAAATCTTCGAGACTTTTCTTTCGAGCGGCGAAGTCCTTGACCGAAACCTTTGAACCTGTATTATCGAAGCATGAATTAGTAATTTCTTTCAAAGTTATTTTTTGGGTTGGGGACTTGATCAATAACGAACCCCATGACATATTGACAATCGCCTTTCCTTGATTCGAATTCTTTCTGTGGTGTATAACATTAATAAAGGCATTTTCCATCGCAGCGAGTGGTGCATTTTTGCGTTCCTCTTTAACATTGCCATTCGCGTCTGGCTTGTCGTATGCACTCTTGTATTTTACCAGGTACAGATCCGCTTTGGAGGCCACTCCTCGGATTACGCCTCCAGCAACGGAGGCGACTGAGGTTCCATGGCGACCCCAATCGGTGAGGTCTTCTGGCTTTCGCTGATTTTTTGGGACACCCAAAAGCGTCAGATCATTAGGGACAACATAAGTCTCCACCTTTCGGTCTGTGCTTGCTAAATCCTATGGAAAGTTCAAAATTAGCATTCTATAACGACATCTCTGTTTTTTCTGCGTGAGAATACTTACCGGCTTTGATGTATCGAAACCTGTATCAATGACATAGATAGTTGTTTCTTTGCCAAGGGTATCATCAAACAGATAGTCCTCGGTAGGTTCACCCATCTTGTCAGAAGAAATCATTTTGAGGTGTGAACCACTTTGGCCACGAGGTTACTGACCTATAGCCCGCGACTAAAGCCATTTTCTCGACTTGTGGTTGGTCAAGTCGTATAGCTGGTCAACTTCAGGTAAGAAGTCTCGGTCGGGAACAGCGCGGAAGTCCTCATCGTCATCCAGCTCGGTTACAGGAATATTATAGGAGACTGTCCTAATGAAAGGAAGGGCTTTGATAGTCGCAACCTGGGTCGCTGTGAGGTCTGTCACGTAGGCTTGGTGATCAACCTCCGAACAAGCCATTTGATATCCCGCGCCGCCGTCAAGAGCATGAACAAAAGCCTTGAACTTAGTGAGGGATGTGCCGCGCTTTGTTGTAATAAGGTATGAAGAGGAAGCCGTCGGTGATTCGGTTGAAGTTGTAGCTATCCCAGATGTGGTTTGGGTTTCCCCAGCGGTTGTGGAGGTGGCCGTCACTGTCAAGGCATCGTCCCATGAATATTCTTTCAGCTTCTGGATAGTCTGGTCCAAAGCCAGGAGTTCACCACCCGTGGCTATATAGCGAAGCCAGTATTTCTTGACATTCTGCGTAGCAGCGTCTCGAAGTGTGGGAAGTCCTTTCAATAACTTCTGCATCGAGCTCAGAATATCACGGCCTCTTTCCAGATCAGGATAAGCCTTGAATACCACCCGGAGACCACTTGTGGTTAATTCCTGTAGCTCGATGCTAGAGCTTTGTGAGATACTTCTCATGGGGCCTAGCAACTGGTCCAGGCTTTCGAGTGTTGAATCAATAGACCCTGAAAGTGAAGTCACTTCGCTCTCTGCGCTACCAGCGGCCCAGGACTTTATGCCACTGGTGATTTTGTCTAGACCAGAAGAAATAGAGCTCTCAGCATCGCCTAGTCCAGAGATTGTATCACTAGATATGCTTGACCCACTACCACCACCGTCACCGCCATCACCACTGCTACCGTCAAACCCTTTGCCCACAGTGAATGACTGCCCATCAGCAGTGAGCATAGGTGAATTGGAGAGATCACCAGGAATATCAACCTTATCGCCATTAATAGACACCTGTCTCGAAGACAGCGTAAGCAGCGACCCATCATCTAGGACTATATCCAACGACGAATCATCAGAAGGAATGCGGTAGGTCTCATCATTGATAGTTATATAAACATCCCAGGCCGAGGTCATTGACGAGGATGACGCAGTCGCAGTAGTGGCCGCTCCTGAGGTTGTCGCCGTCACTTCTTGAGCTGCCATCGAGGTCGAATCCCCGGACTCAGACTTGGACTCGGGTGGGTTTGATTCTTGAGCTCCGTCATAAGTCACGGTCACACCGTCAGCGGTCATTGTGGTTGCGCTTTTCAGTGTTTGTGACCCGATTTGGATTCCCGATGAGCCTACCACGATAGGGGATTGGCCGGACTGGGAGATCGTGGTTGGGGTGCTTCGAATGGGGACTTTCAAGCTTCCGATTATTACGTCCGGGCCGTGGGATTGATATCCTGCGCCTGAAGATGGATCGGCCGACGGGATTAAAGAAGATGGGCCGGTAGATGTAGATGGGGCGTTAGATGGAGATTTAGAGGGAGCACCAGAAGATGGGACACCAGAAGACAGAGTATCAGAGGGAGTATCAGATGAAAGCTCCGATAAAGTACCAGGGGAAACTTTAGGAGTCTCCGACACAGGACTTCCAATTTTACTGCGCGAAGAAGGTCACGGTGTAAATGTCCCCGGATTTCCAGACTGGATTGGAACAGAGGGCGTAGAATGAGTCGCCGTCGTAGTAATAGATAAAGATGTACCAGCACTAGCACTAGAAGGTGTCTCTCCAACAGTCACAGTAACAGTTCGAATACTCGGCTCGATGGTCACAGTCGAAACACTCGGTTCACACGTTTCTATAGAACCACCATCCTCATTAGCAATTACACTCTATCACTAGAGAATGCAATAGAGATAGCACTTCAGATTATATAGAGTTGCACTGCACTTACCAGCTCGATTAAATAAATCTGGAGAAGCAAGAAGAGGGGTTACCCCGATCGCCACTAGAAGCACGGCTCCGTCAATTTCTTTTAAGTTTCAGGCTTGCGACCATACTTCTAGACCAGAACTTAGTTATTTTAACCATCTTATGATTTTTTTGACGTCGGCTTGGATCTTGGCGTGGTCAGAAGTTGACTGGCCAGAACTATATCTGCTTGTAGCTATGTGCAGGCTTAAGATGATGGATATTAGGATAGTATGTATATAGGATATTGGGAAATATGGCAAGCTATAGGGTTTTCGAAAAATAATTATGTCACTAGAGGATCCAAATGATAGTTAACTAAATCACATTGAGGGAGTGGTTTGGTTAAAGAAGCGATTTAGCTGAAACCCAGCAGAACTAAAAGCAGACCTCTGTATCATGCGCTGGAGATCTTGAAGATCACAAGGCTCGTGGGGATGAACGTGAAGGCACGGTTATGGTGACAGGCGAGGTGAAAGAAGGCCGAGAGTGATGAATTTCTGAAGAATGAACCGGGCAGGGGACACCATGAGGCTCTTAAGTAGTACAGGATGCCCTATAGGCCCAAGAAAACCCATGAGGTCAGTCGAGATGTAATCAAGAGTGACAGGAGGTGATCGATGTGACAGATGTGCAGTAGTGCATCGCATTTGGACGGTAAAGTGGTGCTGTGGATACAAGTCTGGCTCGAGCGCGAGAGCCGGTTGGACGTAGAGTAGCGGACTCACGGGGCAGACGATGGAGCGATGAAGCTATTGTCCGTTTGTTGATCGGATTGGCAAAGGTGATATTGTGGTGGCACGAGCAGGAGGCCCTGGAAGAAGGGGCGCCTCTTAGGTGGATGCGAGGCTGAAAAACTTTTGATTCTCTTTTGGGTATTAATTCCGACACGTCCACGGGGGCCTAAAGTTTACAGTGTCTCGATTATTTCTAGATAGCCTTTGATTTAATTGATTTGATTTGATTTTATATTCATATCCCTAACGCAGCCCAGCAATAGCGTACGCAATGGCTATGTAGGTCGGCGCACCCAGCGGCGCCGGAATGCCCCTAACTCTGATTTGAATTAAATACAGACCCAAGTAAGTAGACGGCAGCAACCTTCTGCGAGACTCTGGAATAGATGTGGAAGACGATGGTTAGATGGAACGATCTAGCTCCCTGGAAGGGGTCTTTCCAGGCGCGGGAACACGTCAATTTGATGGAACGACTACATGGAATGGAGTTGGATAGGTATTTGACGCGCAGGATGGCGCAGGGGAGACATCTCGCCTAGTGGCGGGCGAGTTTAGTGGTGTTTTCGCTCTTTTCGGTGTTTATTATGTCTTTTCTGCATTTGTGGGTTTATATGGGCTCCAGGCGTTCAGGTACTAGATTCCTGCTTCATTGGTGAAGCGCCTGCATGGCTAATCGCTTCAATAGATAGGCTACATCAAGTTAATAGAATCTTGATTGATTGATGATATCCATGGAGAATGCTATGAGAAAATTACATTCTCACCCCTAAAAGTGCGTTGAGCTCGCCGTAGCAAGATCGATCTCAATGGAAACAGACCGACTACGACCCTTACCGTCTATGAGTTAGGGTATGTTTCATTCTTTCTGATTCATATATCGCACTTCGATTTCTGGCTCATCCTGCCCCGAATGGAGACTGTACCGTTCAAGGACAGCCAGCAAGGTCAACTTGAACACCGTATCCGCCAAATGCTTCCCGAGACATCGTCCACTCGCCGCCCCAACGCCAAACCGCATAAACCCGTATCGCAATTTTGAGGGCGTAATATCCCGAAACCGTTCGGGGCGATACGTATCACTGTCTTTGCCCCAGGTAGCTGGGTCCGCGTTCAGGCGTTTGGCGTCTATCACGACAGGGCATCGTGCGGGAACACGATACCCCCCAATCTCTTTTGGGATAGCAGTGCACTCGGGGAGGGAGAATGCTGCGACATAAGGAGTAGATTAGAGAGCTGGAGTTATTAATAGGGAAAAGGTAAGGAAATAGACTGACCGAAAGCCGGTGACAAGCGCATAGCCTCCATTACAGCATAGTTTAGGTGTGAATCTTGTTTTGAGAGATATTTTTCGGTGTGGGTCTTGGTATCCATGTCAGTGTCGGTATCCGGGGTGCGGGTGCGACTCCGAACATGCGCGTCAATCTCCCCTCGAAGCTTCTGCTGGAAAGCCGTATTGGCAGCTAGATGCTCGAATAGAGTGTTGAGGACCGCGGAGCTGACGTCGACGTTGGCGAAGAGGATCTCGTCTAGGGTGTGTAGGAACTGGATACATCAGCGCAACTGTATATCCTGTGGGTAGACTGTACACACCTCCTCATGTTTTAAATCGCCCCTTTCAACACCGCGATATATCTTCTCGGCAGGGCACACCTGCGATCCCTTCCGAGCAGACTGGACAATCCTAAGATTGAACTCCCTCCACCTTGAACGGAATTCTTGTATTCGTTTGGCCGCATTACGGTCCAACCAACAGCCTAGGCTTGTCGCCAGTCGTTTGTTGGCGATCACATCATGCAGGATGACTTCGTGGAGGACATTTAGTTCCAATAAGGCAGAGAAAAGCTATCGGCAGCCAAGCCGACCATCAGCCAATGTCCCGGAGATTGTAATGATGAACCTGAAGCGGAATAGAGGGAGGATGTAAGGTTGGGTACGCTACCTCATCATCAAAAACCTCCCCATACACAAACTCCGCAGCAAGCCGGAGCGGCAAAAATCGACAGGGCTTCTTCAGCTCCAGTGCAAACCTTTTCTCCGTTGCTGTTGCTTGCAGTGGCAGATCATCAAGCCATCGGTTGATGCTCGCGCTGAGTTGCGGGATCGCTTGTCGAGCGGATTGAAACGAGAACTCGGGGTCGAAATAGCGTCGGATCATCAACCATCTTTCTCCTGCTATTGCTCCAACTGCGTGGCCGAGAATACTGGAGACCCTGGTTAATATCCCACGGCGAACTGACAAACGTAAGGTGCCAAGGGGACTCGGAAAGGAGTGACATGCCCGCTAAAGTACTTTCCCATGTTCAGATATGGTGGCTTAGGATGATCTGTGAGTCCTGTATTAGTACCCTATCCGCTCTAAAGGAGCTGTTTAAGGCATACGCCTAGTATCACCCTTGTAAAAGTCGTAGATGTGCTCTGGCTTGGTTACCACCAGCTCTCTTGCTCGGCCATTGCGGATGATGAACGGCTCGCCTCCGGCGAGAGCCTTGCCGTGATCGGAGAGCTGCTGGCTAATGAACACTTCTTAGCTGGGTCCTCCCCAACTGTTAAAAACGGATATTGGATACGTCCATACCTGAAAGCGAACTTCGACACGCGGGCGTCTCCAGGAATCTCACAGATTTTCCTGCCGTGCTGGTTGGTGATTCTGTTTGCCCGGTGCCTGGCGGAAATTTTGAGTACGAGTAGGACAAGTAATATCAGAACAAACAATTTGAGAACTTGGGGACTGGCCCTCAACCTCTGCTTCTCTGGATCTGATGCCTGTGTCTGAATATTGATGAAACCCATTTTGTAAAGGAAGGCACACAGGCAGGTACATGTCTAGCAATAGAAAAGTGTACAACTAGCGGGCTTGCCCTTGAATACCATTGCGAATCCCGGCAATAAACCGAATCGTCGACCATTTTCCCGGCCATGGTGGATATATGCAGGGAAGGGTGAGATGGACTCGGCAAATTTGAAATCCTGGTGTTGGGGGCGATGGACAATTCTCCGAGATTCCCGTCACGCGAGGCACGGAGACCGACTAGGGTGGGGTATACTAAGGCAAGCCGGAGGCAGCTTTATCAACGTCCAGCTTCAGTTAGGCTCCTCTATACTTGTAAACCTTGGTTATCTTTACTCCAGATTTGGGCCATAATGATCCCTCCAAAGCAACAAACCGCTCTGAAAATCACCCCAGAAGGACGCATCGCCGCAGTCCGATGCTCTCTCCCATCCCTCCAGAATGACGAACTGCTCGTCCGCGTCAGAAGCATCGCGTTGAACCCCTTCGACGCAAAATCAGCCGAAATGTCACCTACCGCCGGCGCAACTCTGGGGTGCGATTTCGCAGGGGATGTCGTCGCAACAGGCTCCGACACCAACAAGCTCAACTTCAGCATGGGCGACCGAGTCTGCGGTTGTGTCTTCGGCAATAATCCAAATAGGTTGGATAATGGTGCATTCGCAGAGTACGTTGCTGTCCCGGCGGACTTAGTGTTTAGAATTCCGGAGAATATGGACTACAATGAGGCTGCGAAGTTGGGTGTAGGGCTGGCCACTGTAGGGATGTCGCTATATCACTGTTTACAATTGCCTATGGAGCCTGAGCCGGCTGGCAAGTCGCCATATGTTCTGGTTTACGGCGGCTCAACGGCGACCGGGACGCTTGCGATCCAAATCCTTACGCGGTAGGCAACCCTATATGATAACAGTGATATCGGCACGCAATTCCAACGTTACTGATCTGTATCCCCTGCAGCTCTGGCTACACACCGATAACGACCTGTTCGCCCCATAATTTCCATTTGGTTCAATCCCTCGGCGCCATCGCAGCCTTCGACTACCACTCCCCAACATGCGGGCGTCAAATCCGTGATTACTCTTCCGGCACTCTCTGCTACGCCCTCGACTGCATCACGGACACACGGTCGATGGCCGTCTGCTACGAGGCTATCGGGTCAGCCGGCGGTCACTACCTCAGTCTCGACCCGTTCCCCATCCGGGGACATACGCGGCGAAGTGTCAAGCCGAACTGGGTGCTTAGCCTGACGATGTACAACCAGCCGATTCCATGGAAGAGGCCGTTTAAAAGGGATGCGCGTCCGCAGGACCGAGAGTTTGCGAAGAGGTGGTTCCAGATCGCTCAGAAAATCATCGATGCGGGCGAGATTAGGCCGCTCAAGTCGGAGGTGAGGGTTGGCAGATGGAATGGTATACCGGAGGGCTTGGCTCTGCTACAAAGGGGGAGAGGTTTCGGGAAGGAAGCTTGTGTATGAGGTGGCGAGAAATTAGGTCATTTTATTATTAATGCTCTTCATGGATGTGTGAATGTTTAGGTGGATATTCTACGAGACCAGCGTTGCGAGCGGAGGTATTCCCTCGCGTACGTCCCCGTACACAGGATACCAGTATCTACAAGAAAGAACTACATCTAGGATCAGCCATAAATGTAACTGAAGTCCAATAAACGTATTTTCCGAGCATAGTGGATCAATGTCAAAACCCGAGGGCAAACGGGGTACTGCGCCTGAATATTCCGGGCCGGAGAATAGCAGACAGACAACAGCCGTCTTCTAAGAACTCATTTGACAAGTAAAATGCACAGAACCATTTAAGCCAGTCATGGCAGGGTGGGATCTCTGATAGATCATTCTCTAAATACCCACTTCATTCACCAGAAAGAAACATGCCTACCGAAACCCTCGACTCTGGGACCGTCCTCATCGTGGGCGGCGGCCCCGTCGGCCTCATCACGGCCACGACACTAGCCAAGTACGGCGTGCGCAGTATGATTCTCGAGCGCAACCTGACGACAACCATGTGGCCGAAGATGGACCTCACAAATGCTCGCTCGATGGAGATATATCAGAGACTAGGTATTGCAGAGGCACTGCGAAAGGTCGCTGTGCCCTCGCACCACCCCTTCACATGTCTCTTTTCGAGCGGGCTACATGCCGAGAAAGCAATCACCGCATGGTATCTGCCGAGTCCGGATGAGTACCAGAGAAGGAGTAGGGAGTATAATGATGGGAGTATGCCGTCAGAACCGTGGTTGCGTGTTTCCCAGGAGATCTTTGAGGCGTGGCTCAAGGGGCTTGGGATGGAGAATCCGCTTATTGATTTCCGTGCTGGGTGGAAGGTTACCGGGGCGCGAGAACTTGACCCTGGAGCGCAAGTTGATGCCATCCATCCGGAGACAGGTGAAGAGTGGAGGGTCCGTGCGGACTTTGTAATCGGATGCGATGGCGCCCACAGCGCTATACGCGAGAGTCTGGATATTCCCTTGGAAGGGGGCCCGATGTAAGTGCTGACCTGCCTACCGATTTGATACGCAAGTTCAAGAAGAACCATTCATTGACGAAATGTTAGCCATGGGTACGCGGTCCTCGTGCACTTCAAATCAAGAGATCTCTCAAGTATCCAAAAGCAAGGCCAATTTTGGCACTTGTTCTTTCCCAATCCTGCGAGTGATGGCGGGTCTATCAAGGGAGCCATCATCGCACAGGACGAAGTCGACACCTGGACCGTTCATCGTTTCATGCGGCCCGACGTGGATCATACACAGCTCTCGTCGGAGGAGATCGTCTATGACCTTCTGGGTGGGATGAGTGGCCAACCTTTCCCGATCAAGATTGACGAGATCCTTGTTCGCTCGACATGGACGCCAAGCGTCGCACTTGCGCGTTCTTACGCAGGGCCTAGGCGCCATATATTCATCGCTGGAGACGCATGTCACCAGACTGTGCCAACTGGCGGCTACGGAATGAATACTGGTGTTGCAGATGGTTACGACATCGGCTGGAAGCTGGCGGCCGTGATCCAAGGGTGGGCTGGACCTGCAACGCTTCTCTCCTATGAGCAAGAGCGCCGGCCTGTGGGAGAACTAGCACTGCAGTGGTCGAAAGTACACATGGGCAACTTGATGAAGATGTCTGCCGAACTAGGTCTCGACGCCCACGTGATCGAATCAAACAGTGAGGCCGGCGCTCAAATGCGAGCAGCCATGCATTCATATCTCGAAACACACGACGGCCATAACCAGAGTATCGGGGTGGAGATGGGATACCGCTATGCTTCTGGTCTTTGTGTTTCTAGTCCTCTTGAAGCCGAGCTTTCCCCGCCAGAGTTCCAGCCCAGAAAGTATACACCAAGCACCATGCCGGGTTACCGAGCTCCTCATGTGTATTTGACGACCGGGACTCCTGTTTCCCATCTTTTCGGTTACGGCTTCACGCTTGTTGCGTTTCCAGAGAGTGAAGAATTGGCCACGTCGATTGGGCAGCTGACAGAGTCGGCTCTAAAGAGAGCCCTGCCCCTTGAAACTGTTGAGTTACCAGGGGAAGTGCATGCTCATGAGGTTTGGGGGGCTTCCCTAGTTCTAGTGCGACCAGACGGATTCGTTTCGTGGCACGGTGCCAACGTTCGCAGTCGAGAAGAAGCTGATCGGATTATGGCCCAGGCCAGCGGTTTTGGTCCTGATTCCTTGGATGGTCATGACCAGGTGCTAGGGAGAAGTGCCTTATAGCTTGTTTATAGTGACTAGTTCTCTTAGTAATCAATTATATATATGAAAGGGCATTCGCATTTCTTGCCAGGAACCAAGCTTGAGACCCCACTGAGAGGTTCAAGATCTATTTGCAGCGCCGATGAACGCACAACATACTGTTCCACACTCAGAGTAAGTTGTCGTCCCTTGCGTACTGCAAGTAAACAGCAGGGCAAATACTTGTGTGAAATATGCCGTGATTATACAACACAGCACGCCCAGTAAGGGCGCTCTTGAGGATCATCGCGACCACCACAAGGGGCAAGTCCTTTTGGGCAGGATTTAACAGATGGCCTGTGGGGTGTTGAGATGCATAGACTTGTCAGGCATATTGTCCCCAGCATGGCGGACATGGCTTGCATTGCCACGTAGGCGAGTCTCGACTTGTTAACAATCGTCAAAGTTGACTAAATGTATGTACTTATATATAATCCTGTGGCCATGAGAATTACTGGAAATTCTGTGGATTCGTTAACTTAGTTACTTATTGCTTAGTCAAGGTCCATCCAGCCAGGCCAGGCCATCACTGGTGACCTAGTTAATGTAGGTACTTCTGCTCTTCTTATGTTTTCATGAACACCAAGTCGTCAAAGGCATCATGTTGCTGCAAGATCCTGATTTCGGAAAACCTATCTAGAACGCGAGTATCCAGGGGTCTCCTCTCTCACTCCTTGAACAGCGCGATTTGCACGCCGGTTTTATTTGAAGGTCCCACACGCATCACCCCGACATAGGGATTTGGATCTCGGGCTTCAATCCGTTTATACACGCGCATCAGTCGGGCTAGGAAGTAACTGGCTTCTGCTGTCACCAGCATCTGAGCCGGACAACGACGCGGCCCTCCACCAAAGGGAACAAAGTTCCAGTAGGGCCGCAAATTCTCCCATCGTTCGGGCCGGAATTCCTCTGCATCGGGGCCCCAGATATCGCGGTCTCGATGGATGACATTCTTGTTGACCTGGAGGACATCTCCCTTACGGACAAAAATCGGTTGCTTGCCATCAGGACCTCCGCCCACGGGCAACGTCGTATCTCGGATGCATTTCCGCACCTGGGTCACGCCGTTGGGAAAGAGGCGGTGCGCTTTCCTTTGTGTCAGCCCCCAGGTCACGAATAATAGGAAAGGGAAGAGAAACAAGATACGCACTCTCATTGAGGATGGCGATGAGATATTTCATATTTCGCAGTACCGAGAATGTCAACTCCGCGTCGCCAACCGCGAGTACCTCCTGGCAACATTTCTCATATATCTCTGGATGACGAGCAAGGTTCCATAAGACATGGCTAATGAAGATGGAGGTCGTATCGTTATTTGGCACAAAGATCAAGCAGATCTGGGATCGGAGGGCTTCCTTGTCTTGCAGATAATTGCTCGCCATATACCATAGCAGGTCTTTGCGATCAGCCGTCTCTGAGTCTTTTCCTTGGCGCTTATAGTCGTCGAGCTCTTTGTATGTTCGGTCAATATGCGCATTCAGGTATTTGTGGACCACATCTACGGCATCGAGCCATGCCTGGTGGCGGAAGAGCCAGATGTACTTGTACCATTGAAGCCGTAGTCGGAGACCTCGGAGAACGTCCACCATGGCCCAGCATATGGGGGCTCTCTCCGGATACACCAGAGACTCGATTGACTCCCCAAAGAGAGACTCGGTGGTCACGTCAAGGAACTTTAGATCACGGGGTCAGACATATGTCCTCGCGGCAGCAGAGAGGAGGGGCTTACCCAACGTTGAATGAGTGGCTGGATATTGACTGTTTCACCGTCCGCTGGCAACAGGTCCAAAACTCGGTCAACATGGATGGTCAGACGAGTGGTATCTCTGAAGGTTTCGGGCTTGAAGAATGGCTTAATCAGAAACCGGTTGAATTCCCACTCATGTCCGTCAACAGTGTTGACGCCTTTGTCCGCGAACGGAGCAGTCGCCTTGTTATTTCGCCGCATTGGACCAACAGCAAAGTCCTGCCAGTTGATGGCGGACACACTCTTCATATTCTCCGGCTCGATAGTGTAGATGAACCGGGTGCCAACGAAGTTCACCAAGAAGGTCTTTGGCAAGTTCGCATGGATTTTGTTGAGCCAGACAAGGAAGTAGTCATTGCGCAGTGCCTTGGCCATACCAAGAACGATATCGAAGCCGAAGAACGGGTCGCGATGAGGGTACCGAGGGATCCTGCCACACCCATGTGCCTTGCGTTTCCATTCATAGACGACCCAGTCTACTGCAATCATGCAGCAGAAATAGATCACAAATGCAGAGAGTGCGAGCTTTATTCCATCCAAAAAGGTGGCGTGCTGGAGGAGAGTTTGCAAACTCCCCTTCGAAAGCGTGGTGGCCAGACTCATTCTTGTGGAAGATGATAGTGACAGGCAAGGGAATACGGGAAGCTACTACCAAGCAAGATGCTCATTTCTCTGCACCCAAGGGCAGCCCGGTTCTTTTCCATTTCAAAATCACTTGATGGCTGTCTGGGCATCTCGGAGTATCGTTGTGGAAACCCCGTGGATTTCCCGTAATCTTCCCGTAATCCCGCTGAATATCCCGCGGTGCCGCGATCTCGCGACATCCATCGCAGCAATTAGGGCTTCATACGAGGACCCACTATATTCCTTTGCAATATGTATACCTTGGCGATTTAGATAGATACATACCAGCGCTATGTATAATCTCTCAATCAACATACACCAAGGGACTACGAGGCAGACTCAATACTTGTCCACCTTCTTTGTTACTCTTCACAATCGCACACTACTCTCCCAAGATGCAGGACTTGATAGCCATTGTTGGCTCTGCTTGTCGATTCCCTGGGCAATCAGATAGCCCTTCAAAGCTATGGACTCGGTTAAAAGAGCCCGTCGACCTTCGCAAGACCTTCCCTCCTGAGAGACTGAACCTCGCTCGGTTCTATCATCCAGATGGAGAGCATCATGGCAGCACAGATGTACGTGGGATGGCATACTTGCTGTCAGAGGACCCTCGTCAGTTTGATGCCTCTTTCTTTAATATCAACCCTCGCGAGGCGGAAGGGATGGATCCTCAACAGAGGCTGCTGTTGGAGACTACCTATGAGGCCCTTGAGGCGGCCGGCTACTCACTGGAGGCCATGAACGGCTCAAAAACATCTGTTCACGTCGGCGTAATGAACGCAGATTTCAGCAACATTCAGCTACGAGATTCGGAAGTGCTACCTACATACAATGCCACTGGCACCTCCATAAGCATTCTTTCAAATCGACTGTCATACTTTTTCAATCTAAAGGGCCCGTCAGTGACTGTCGACACGGCCTGCTCCAGCTCACTGGTAGCCTTGCATCAGGCCGTCCAGGGCCTTCGCGCCGGTGATGCAACCTCCGCCATTGTTGCCGGCGCAAATTTGATTTTCGATCCAGCTATGCACATCGCTGAGTCGAGCCTGCATATGCTGTCCCCTGACTCATGCTCGAGGATGTGGGATAAGGATGCCAATGGATATGCTCGGGGAGAAGGGTTCGGTGTATTGCTCCTCAAGCCGCTGAGTCGAGCCATTATGGATGGCGACCACATCGAGGCAGTCATCCGCAGCACGGGTGTCAACTCCGATGGCCGTACCAGGGGCATCACCATGCCCAACGCAGCGTCTCAAACGGAGCTTATTCGGCAGACATACCGGGATGCAGGCCTTGACCCTATCCTGGATCGATGCCAGTATTTTGAATGCCACGGAACAGGCACTGCTGCTGGAGACCCCATAGAAGCGCGCGCTGTGCACGATGCATTCTTCCCGGCTGAAACAGGCACATCCTCGAACCCGCTTATTCCCAACGGCAAGCTGTACGTCGGATCCGTGAAGACGATCATTGGTCATCTAGAAGGTTGTGCGGGCATTGCTGGAGTCCTCAAGGCTGTTCTCGCCATCAAGAACCGCACCATCCCTCCAAACATGCACTTCCACGAGCCGAATCCTGAAGTTATCCCCTTTTACACCCGTCTTGAAATCCCCACAGCCCCGATACCATGGCCGGATACTGGCAGATCTCCCATGCGTGCCAGTGTCAACAGCTTTGGATTCGGCGGGACGAACGCTCATGCTATCATCGAAGGATACGACGCGCTGAGCAATCCAGTACGGGAGACGACGATAACACCTGATGATCTCTTCATTGGACCTCTGTTGTTCTCCGCTAACTCCAGCACGTCCCTTGTTGCCAATGTCAAAAACATTGCGGAGCGGATCAGGTCCGACGCTTCAATTGATCTTGAAAGGCTGGTGTGGACATTACATGCTCGGCGGAGCGTCTTGCCCATCAAAGCCTTCTTCACAGGTGGTACCGTGCAGAGATTGCTCAACTTCATGGATCGGTTCATGGCAGACTCCGAGGTAGCCACGAGCTCGACAGCCGGAATCAAATACCAGCCGCTGAATCCGGCCGAAGCCCCCGGAGTCCTTGGTATCTTCACTGGCCAAGGTGCGCAATGGGCTTCCATGGGTTCTACCCTTCTCCAGCAGAACCTTGTCTTTCGAGCAGCTATTGAGCAGTGCCAGGCTGCCTTGGCCGCACTGCACGACGGCCCTCAATGGTCTTTGGTAGACGAGCTCGTGAGAGGAGCGACCGAGTCTCGCATCGGGGAAGCAGCCTTATCACAGCCGCTCTGTACCGCTCTACAGATAGGGCTAGTGGACATGCTGAGGTCCGCGGGCATCGAACTTGATGCGGTAGTGGGCCATTCCTCCGGCGAGATTGCCGCCGTATACGCCGCTGGGATTATCGATGCAGAGGACGCCATCAAGATTGCATACTACCGTGGCTACTACGCCAAATTCGCTACCGGGGCACGAGGTCAAGCCGGGCGCATGATGGCCACTGCCATGTCCTTTGACGAAGCGGAGGAATTCTGTGCCCGACCTCAATGGCATTGTCGTCTTGTGGCTGCTGCAAGCAACTCCCCACAGAGTGTCACACTTTCCGGCGACATCGATGCCATCGAGGAAGCAATGCAGATTTTCGAGTCCGAAAAGAGATTCGCGCGGATCTTGCGAACCGATACTGCTTACCATTCGCATCATTTGCAGCCATGTGCTGAGCTATACCTGAAAGCATTGCGAGCCTGCCAGATCAAGGTGAATCCGCCCCGGAAGGACTGTGTGTGGATATCCAGCGTCCGTGGCGATGCCCAATTACTAGAGGGGGGCCTGTCAACGCTGGTAGACCAGTACTGGGTGGACAACATGTGCAACCCGGTTTTGTTCGCGCAAGCAATTGAGACTGCGATCTGGAACGGGGGCCCCTTTGATGTGGCCGTCGAACTGGGCCCACATCCAGCGCTCAAAAGCCCCGTGGAGCAAACAATCAAGGCAGTCTATGGGCCTACCCCGGCCTACGCCGGACTCATGCGGCGCGGTGACAATGAGATCGAGGCGTTCTCTGGCGGCGTCGGTTTCGTTTGGTCGCGACTTGGACCGAACGCCGTCGACATGAGTGGATACCGCAAGAGTTTCAAGGGAGCCGATCGTCTACGGCCACAGGTGCTGAAAGACCTGCCACCCTACTCTTGGGACCACGGCAAGCAGTACTGGAAGGAATCTCGTATCTCCCGCCAATATCGGCTGCGGCAGGATACTCCGCACGAATTACTAGGCCGTCGAGTTCCCGATGACACTGATGACAGCCGGAGATGGCGAAACGTACTGCGCCTCAACGAATTGCCTTGGATCAAGGGCCACGTCTTTCAAGGACAGGTTCTGTTTCCCGGAGCTGGCTATGTGGCTATGGTTCTGGAGGCAGCACGGGCGCTAACAGATGGCCGACCGGTCACTTTGTTGGAGCTCGAGGATGTTTCTCTGCGCCGCGCATTGGTTATTCCAGAGCAAGGAGGTGTCGAAACCGTCTTCACTGCCCGGGTCATCGACGCGAAAGATGGGAAAAAGTCCACCGACCGACTGGAAGCAGAGTTTGCGTGTTATTTTTGCTCCGCCGAGGGCACCGAGCCGTTGGTTAAAGCATGCACAGGCCGTCTCATCATCAACTATGGCGATCCGGTACTAGATGCCCTGCCACAAAGAACCCGGTTACCAGCAAACAATGTACCAGTAGACATGGGGAGGTTCTACGATTCCATGAACAACATTGGTCTGGATTATCAGGGAATTTTCCGCGGTCTAGTTTTTGGCAAGCGATCTCTGGGCTGTTCATCAGTCAAGGCCGCTTGGGGGCCAGATATGCAAATTGACGACTATGTTGTCAACCCTGGCTTCTTGGATGTTGCATTCCAGTCACTCTATACGGCCTTTTCGTCTCCCGCCAGTGGAGAGATCTGGGCCCCTTATCTGCCGATTCACATTGAGAGACTCGCCGTGAACCCCAATGTGTCTTACCGAATCGGGAAAGTCGAGACTCAAATGGAGGCGGACGCGTTCATTACTACAGCGAACTCTACACTCCTTAAAGGAGATATCCAGCTTTACCAATGTGAATCTCAGCATGCTACCCTCCAGGTCGAAGGGATCTCGTTGAAATCCATGTCCGAACCTCAGCCGGAGAACGATAGATGCCTATTCTCGGAGACTGTCTGGGGCCCTGATGTCTCATTGGGCGTCACTGAAGTGGCTAGCCATGCAGCCAAGGATGACATTCACCTGGTAGAGGCTTTGGACCGAGTGTCCCTGTTCTACTGGCAGAAGCTTCTTGAAGAGGTCGGCGCGGAGATCGCCCAGTTCCAGTGGAACCACCAGCGAATGTTTGACGCCGTCGATTTCCAGGTCGCCTCCGTGCGCAGCGGAAAACATCCCATTGCGAAGTCAGCATGGCTCAAGGATGATTGGAATACCATCCTTGCAGTAAGCGAGCCTTATGCGTCTCGTGTGGATATGCGACTCATCCACGCGGTTGGAGAGAATCTGACCTCCGTTGTGCGTGGTGACACACAGCTGCTGGAAGTCATGGTCCAGGATGACATGCTCAACCGCTTTTACATGGAAGGATATGGTTTTTCAGTCATCAATAGCGCGGTCTCGGACGCTCTGGAGCAGATCACGTTCAAGTATCCTCACGCAAACATCCTGGAAATTGGCGCCGGCACTGGTGGAACGACCCGGAGTATCCTTAACCGAATTGGCAGCCGCTATGGATCTTACACATACACAGATATCTCCCCTGCCTTCTTCAAAGTCGCGGCTGAAAAGTTCGAGGACGCACGGCGAAAAATACAGTTCAGGGTCTTGGATGTGGAAAAGGAGGTTGGCGCTCAGGGCTTCGACGAGCGCAGCTACGACGTCATCGTCGCCGCGAATGTCCTCCATGCCACGCGCAAGCTGGAAGAGACCATGAATCATGTTCGGGCTCTTCTCAAACCCGGCGGGTATCTTGTTCTGATGGAGATTACTGGCTCACATGTCTTGCGGACGCAGTTCATCATGGGTGGCCTTCCAGGCTGGTGGTACGGCGTAGATGACGGACGTGTCCTGTCCCCCGCCATATCGGTTGAGCAATGGAACCAGCTACTTCTCGATACTGGCTTCTCTGGCTTGGACTGTTTGAGGCCGGACATGTTGGATGAAGACAAGCACTCCTTCTCACTCATGGTGAGCCAGGCCATGGATGAGAAGACGCAAATGCTCAGGTATCCAGCATTGTCCACGAGCTTTGCCCCAACAGGGGATGTTCTAATCATCGGAGGCCGAACCAATCCGAAGGTGGAGATAGTTCAGGAAATCCGTCACTACCTCGCCTCCTGGACGAGTCGTGTACAGGTTTGGCATAGTATCCAAACCAAGCAGCTGGATCGGCTGGCTCAATTCGAAAATGTCATTTGCCTCGAAGAGTTGGATCAACCTTTATTCTCCACTACCATGACTGGCGAGACGCTGCTAGCTCTGCAAAGGGTTTTGAGCGGGACAAGGAATGTTGTCTGGGCCATTAACAACGCCAATGGCGAGAACGCCCATGTTAACATGACAGTCGGTATCGGGCGAGCATTGAGAACAGAGGTCCCTGGTTTGAACCTCCTATTCGTCGAAGTCGATGCTATTGATAATGCTCCCGCATGTGCACAACAGCTCTCGCAGATGTTACTGCAGCTAGTAATTAGATCACTGTGCGCGACTGAGAACATGCTGTGCGCAGTGGAGCCGGAAATTCGAGTCCAAGACGGGCGGCGCCTTATTCCTCGGGTTCTTCCCATAGCGCCAATGAACCAGACGTACAATGCGAGTCGACGAGTCATTACCAAGGCAGTCAATATCGAGACCACGTGCGTGACTTTGGAAGACTCTGCAGGTTCACTGCGCCTAGTGCGGGGACCGTCCATGGTAGATAGCCCCGTCCAGCGTGGCCATGATCGGCTCCGAGTCCATTTTTCTCTCCCTCTCGCAGTCTCTGGGGGCCCTCCATGCTACTTGTGCAGTGGTGTTTCGAGGGAGAGCGAACGGCCGGCCCTGGCACTTTCCACCTCGAACACGAACTTTGTCGACGTCCCCAACGACATGGTCTTGACATTAGAGCAGGGTCAACCTTGTGATGCCGCGGTGCTTGAAGCGACAGCCCGCCATCTCCTGGCGAGAAACATCTGCAGCCGCCTTCCGGCCTCGAATGAAACACTTGTTTACCAACCTAGCCACGACTTTGCTCAAGCACTGCTGTCAACGGGACGCCAATTCTCATTCGTCGCTACCGACGAGGCCAGCTGCTTCAGTGATTGGATCTACTTCCACCCTAGGGCCTCGCGCCGCGCTATTCAGCCTCACCTACCAGAGAGCTTGGACGCCCTTATCGACTGTACTGGTGAAGTACCCAAAAATCTCATATCCTGTGTCCCGACACACTGCAAGATATTCAACACGACGCTCCATCAGCTCGACGCCAGCCTTCTGGGTCCCGCATATTCTGCCGCTCTCACACGTGTCAGCTCCTCATGTAACAGACCGAGCATCCAAATCAGAGACCTTCCGCTGGCCACGCTCTCCAAACCGTCGATGGTCGATTGGACAGGTGTCGAATCTGTGGAACTGACACTTCAGCCACTTAGCACCAGCGAGCTTTTTTCGCCAAGTGCCACTTACCTCCTTGCTGGCATGACAGGCGACCTTGGCCTTTCACTGTGTCGCTGGATGATTGACAATGGCGCCCGCAATATTGCCTTGACGAGCCGGAATCCAAACGTCGACGAGGAATTGTTGCAAGACATGCGCCAGGGTGCTGCCGATATCCGAGTCTTCCGGAACGACATCACCGACCGAGACGCTGTTTGTCGGCTTGTTGAAGAGATCAGAGAGTCAATGCCGCGCATTGCTGGTGTTTTCAATGCATGCATGGTCCTCCGGGATGGACTCTTCTCCGAGATGGACATTGACTCCCTCAATGGTACTCTCACGCCCAAGGTTGACGGGTCCAGGATACTAGATGAAATCTTCCAGGATGACTCTCTCGACTTTTTTGTCCTATTTTCTTCCCTGGCGAGCATCATTGGAAATGCTGGCCAATCCAACTACCACGCTGCAAACATGTTTCTCTCCGGTCTTGCCGCCAACCGTCGTAAGAAGGGTCTTGCAGCGTCCGTCTTGCACATTGGTCTGGTCACCGATGTAGGGTATGTTGCTCGCAGGGGTCAAGCAATGGAGGAGCGACTCCGTAGGCTGTTTTTCCTGCCATTGTCAGAATCGGACATCCACCATGCGATGGCGGAAACCATTCTAGCCAGTCCGTCTCACAGCACACGTCAGCACGAGATTATTTTGGGGCTAGAACCTTTCGTTGATTCGCCCAACGCGACTAAACGGCCCCCATGGGAACACAACCCAAAGTTCTCGCATTATGTTTCCCGGCCATTGCTGGACGAAACGCCGGCGGTCACGGCATCGGAAGCTACAGCAGACGTGAAACAACTGTTGGGGTCGGCGGTTTCTGCGGACACAGTCACCCCTATTGTCCAAGAGGCATTTGCGAGGAAACTCAAATCGATGATGCAGCTCCCTACCAACAGTGTTAACCTGAATATTCCCCTGATTGACTTGGGGTGCGACTCTTTGCTGGCCATTGAAATTCGACGCTGGTTCATCAAAGAGGTTGGCATTGACGTTCCAGTCCTCAAGGTGTTGTCCGGCGATACCACGGCTCAGATCTGTGAGGATGCAGTTTCGCAATTCCTGGCTTTACAGCTTGAGAAGAAAGAGGCAGTACCATTCAACGCGATGGAAAAGCCCAATACAGAGCCTCAAGGACCCAGTGATGCCCTTGGCAAAGTCGAGAGTGCCAATGGGGGCTCCGAAACGAGTAGCCAAGGCGATGATTCGCGAGGAAATTTCTCGTCGTCGAGCAGTCACACCAGTCCAAGTCTCCAAGCTACTACTCCTGGCGTCAAACCGAGTACCCCAGCGCCATTGGATGGTGACGCAGGACCTCCCGATTGTGCACTTGAGCGAGCCATAATTCGGGTTGAACGTGCCTCCTTTGCCCAGTCAAGACTGTGGTTCTTGACGCAGTATCTCCATGATCCAACGACGTACAATGTCACCGTTCGTTACGATGTTACAGGGAAGCTTCCAGTTTCACGAATCGTCAATGCACTGCACACAACCATTCGCCATCATCAGTCTCTGCAAATGTGCCTTTTCATGGACTCGGACAACGAAACACTGATGCAAGGAGTCCTGTCGCCGCCTTGCAGTTCTATCAAAACTGTTCTTTCTGGAAACGAGCATACCGTCATAGAGGAATACGAGCGTTTGCATCGTCGAGCTTGGGATCTCGAGAAGGCGGAAACCTTCGCGGTCACTGTCGTTTCTTTGTCGCCCGAACAGCATATCATTATCTTCGGGTACCATCATATCGTCATGGACGGGGTGAGCTGGCACCTTTTCTTGCGAGACCTGGACCTCGCATATCGCCTTAGATCGCTCCCTCCGATTGAGATGGAATATATCGAGTGGTCGGACAAGCAATTTCGGTCCGCTCAGCGAGGAGACTTCACCAGACAACTCGATTACTGGCGCAAGCAGCACTCGCCTCCACTCTCTGTCATGCCACTGTTACCAATGGCTCGGACGGATTCTCGCAAGCCGCTCACCACATATGACAGCCATGTCGTCCGCGCCGAAATTGATCGGGGGCTGGTGTCGCACATCCGGCATGTCAGCCAGTCTTTGCGCGTCACTTCCTTCCACTTCCATCTAGCCGTGATCCAAAGCATCCTTTGCCGCTTATTGAAGATAGAGGATCTTTGCATTGGAGTCGTAGATGCGAACCGAACTAATGAAGCTCATTCGGGAACTGTGGGATTCTTTCTAAATCTTCTTCCGGTCCGCTTTAATACGAAGAAGCACAGCACATTCCAAGATCTGGTTTCCTCAACCAGACGCACAATTCTTGAAGCCCTTTCCAACTCGGAGACGCCGTTCGACCTCATTCTCGAGGATCTGAAAGTCGTGCGACGTGCAGAATACAGCCCCTTGTTCCAAGTCGCTGTCAATTATCGCATGGGCGCAATGCTCCAGGTTCCACTTGGAGACGGCAAAATGGAGATGGCGTCTGTCGACGACGCAAAGAACCCGTACGACCTCAGTTTCGGGATCACAGAGTCTGCGACGGGGGCTTGCTTGATGGAACTGACTAGCCAAAAAGAACTGTACACGGAGCAGTCTACAGAGCTCTTGCTACAGATGTACGTGGACGTCCTTCGCGCCGCGTCCGACAATCCTTCACTTCCTGTCAATCAGCTACCAGTCACGTTGGAATCGTCACGCGGGAAAAGTCTTGCCGTTGCAAAAGGCCCCAGGGTTGAGTATTCTTGGCTGAACACCCTATGGGAACGATTCGACGCGATCCAGAAGTCGTACCCGGAGGAAGCTGCCATCAAGGACGGGAATTCAGGCATGAGCTACTCGCAGCTGGCCAGAAGGGTTGAGCAACTTGCCGGGACGCTAATCAGCCAAGATGTTGCCGCTGGAGATAGAGTCGGTGTTCTCCTTCATCCGTCCATCGACGCCATTGCTTGTATGCTAGCCTCGCTGCGCGTTGGATGTATATATACACCCCTCGACACGCGACTGCCGCTGGCTCGATTGAATACCATTGTCGATGGCTGCAAAGCCTCGTTGGTCTTTTACCACGTTGCAACCCGTGACGCTGCTCTGGAACTTGGAAAGTTTGCCAAACTGGCCGATGTCGACGATATAAGGGGAACAGTTTCAGCGCAAGTACCGGCAGTTGCGCCTCCATCAAATCTGGCGTCTTTCCTGTTCCACACCAGCGGCAGTACCGGGGCTCCCAAAGGCATTCTGCTTACCCAACAAAACTTTGTGAATCATCTGGCTGCGAAGACTGACAGACTGGCTCTCGGCAGGGAGGTTGTTTTACAACAGAGCTCGTTGGGATTCGACATGTCCGTCGTGCAGACTTTCTGCGCTTTGGCCAACGGTGGAACCTTGGTCATCGCACCGAAGGAAGCGCGGGGAGACCCCGTTGCACTGTCCAGACTTATTGCAAAGGAACGAGTGACGCTGACGATTGCCACGCCCTCGGAATACTCCTTGTTGATGCGCTTCGGACTTGAGCAACTCCAGAAACCCTACGCATGGAGACATGCCTGCATGGGCGGCGAAGTCGTGTCGCGGCAGTTGATTCAGCAGTTTTGCCAGCTGGATCATCCTGATTTGCAGCTGACCAACTGCTATGGTCCAACGGAAATCACCGCTGCTGCAACATTCCAAGACATCCCTCTCCAATTGGAAGACCAGAGTACTACTGATGGATCCCCGGTGGGAAAGCCCTTGCCCAACTACTCGGTCTACATCATGGACGCTTCTGGATCTCCGGAGCCCATTGGTATCGCCGGCGAGATATGTATCGGAGGTGCTGGTGTTTCACTAGGCTATTTGAAATCTCTCGAACAGACTGACGCGAAGTTCGTTCAGGACCCCTTTGCTAGCCCAAAGGATATTGCCTGCGGTTGGACGAAAATGTACAGAACAGGAGATATGGGGCGACTCCTCGAGGATGGCACTTTGGTTTTCATGGGCCGCATGGACGGCGATAATCAGGTCAAATTGAATGGTGTGCGGATTGAGCTCGATGGAATTGCCAACAGCATTCTCGCCACTGGACATGATCTGGTGTCCGAAGCTGTAGTCACCGTTCGTCCTGGCTCTGGCTCCGGTTCGCCACTCCTCGTGGCTCATGTCGTCCCTCTTCGGGCCCCCGTTGACGTCTCCAGACTTCAGCAGCTCGCCAGAGATCTTCCACTGCCACCGTACATGCTTCCGTCCGTGGTCATTGCCCTGGACCGCCTGCCTACCAACGCTAACGGGAAGGTTGACAGGAAGGCCGTCATGGCACTGCCCCTGCCAACCCACCCCGCTGAAAGCGCGGCGGGTACCGGCCTTGGTAATGCAAGGCATCTCAGCCTCGCAGAGGGCGAGCTACGCCTGCTGTGGGAGAAAGTCCTTCCGGTCTCCGGTGGCCCGTCACGACTAGATGCCGATTCCGATTTCTTCATGCGAGGAGGAACATCCATGCTGCTGGTCCGACTCCAGGGTGCTATCAAGCAGTCGATTGGGGTTTCAATCCCCATCGCGGAACTGTACCAGTTTCCGACTCTCGGTCAAATGGCGAGGCGAATCAGTCGCCGTAAGGAAGAGCTTCAGGTGTCCCACACATCAGTAATTGACTGGGATTCCGAAACCTCACAGACCCAATGCCTCATCTCCGCAGCTCAAAGCCAATACTCGACACGTCAAGCAAAATTCCATGACCGTCAGGAGATCTTGCTTACCGGTTCCACTACTTTCCTCGGCAAAACAATTCTGCAGTCCCTCCTCCACAATCTGCGCGTTAAACGAGTGCACTGCGTCGCTGTCCCCGCGGAGGATGCGTCCCTCCTCCCGTCGTCCGACAAGATCGTCATCTACGCCGGCAGCCTCCTCACGCCCAATCTGGGGTTGTCGCAGACAGAGATGGCGGACCTTCAATCCCTCATAGACGTCATCATCCATGCCGGGAGCACGGGGCACTGCCTGAACAACTACACTTCCCTACGCACCGCGAACCTCGGCTCAACGAGGTTCTTGGCGGGCCTTGCTATTTCACGCAGAATCCCCATCCATTTCATCTCGTCCAACCGTGTCACCTTGCTCTCTGGCAATAACAGTCTCCCTCCGGTCTCGGTTTCATCCTCCCTACCCAACCCGGATGGCTCCGAGGGCTTCACCGCCAGCAAATGGGCCTGTGAACGGCTCCTTGAATCAGCCGCCGCACTCGAACCCGGACTCCCCGTTACGATCCATCGTCCGTGCGCGGTCATTGGAGACGAGGCGCCAAACGAGGATGCTCTGAATGCTCTTCTGAAATACTCCAAGCTCACGCGCTGTGTTCCGCGTTTCGAAAACTTCGAAGGGTATCTTGATTTCGAGGACGTACACAGGGTCGCCGGGGCGATCGTGGCAGACGCTCTGTCTACTGCTGAGTCAAAGACGAGCAAGTCTACTACACGATTCGTGCACCACTCCAGCGGGCACAAAGTGTCCATGAAGGACTTCAGAGGCCGAATGGAGACTTTGTTCGCGTGTCCGTTTGAGGAGGTCTCTATGGCTGAGTGGATTGAACGCGCATTGCAGGCTGGTATCGATCCACTGATCACGGGATACTTGGAGGCGATGACGATGAAGGGGGAGACGATTCGGTTTCCTTATATGGGAGAGACGGGATCGCTTTGAGGGTCTGTACGGAGTACTTTTGTGCCAATTGATTTGGGTTTCGTCTGATTTGCATCTTGTATGTATACGCAGTAACCAGAATACAATTAGATGAATACCGGATCTGATCTACCTGGACATCTCTCTTGGAATAGATGTACTGAATGACTACTTTCACAAAATACTTGGTGCCATTGGACCCTTCGGCTGACTCAAGAATACGGTGGCAGTGCCGCAGAGCCCTTTTCTGCCGTTGGGGGCAAAAATATCATGTTTCATAAGCTTAGGAAGCAAAAGTGTCAGGAAAATGGAGATTAGCATTGTATTGACGCGTCAGGTAACGTGGATCCCTGTTACTCCGGCCACCACCAAAATAAAATGGGTCCCGTAGCAACCTCTGTTTTTGAACACCAACGATGCCCCCAATTCGCTCTCAAAAGGCTCAAAAATTGGTTGAACAGGAGGGCCACCTTCTGTTAGCTATTAAAGCTATAGAAAATGGGAAATATAGCTCCATTAGAGCTGCTGCCGAAGCTTTCACTGTGCCGCGATCAACGTTACAAGATCGGATGAACGGTCATGAAAGTCGGGTTGTACGCCGCCACCATCGCCATAAATTCTCTGAACTTGAAGAAAAGTCGATGGAAGAATGGCTACTTTCTATTTATTCTAGAGGGTTTGCCCTTACACATGCTATGGGTCGAGATATGGCTAATCTACTACTCCATGCCCGTGAAGCAACCCCCTCCAAGACCTCTCCGAAAGTTGGCAAAAATTGGGTCACAGACTTTATTAAACGCCATGATTCTCTTGCGTCCTACCTCTCGCGTCGATATGACTACGAGAGAGCTCTCTTTGAAGACCCTAAACTTATAAAAGGGTGGTTTGATCTCGTCCGAAATACCATCCAAAAATATGGAATTGTTCCGGCTGATATCTAGAACTTTGATGAGACGGGATTCGCGATGGGTGTTACCTCTTCACAATATATTATATGTTCTGCGGAATATTATGGTAAACGAAAGGCTCTACAGGCAGGAAATCGTGAATGGGTTACTGTGGTTGAGGCTATTAACGCCGAAGGGGGTATTCTTCCGCCGTACCTGATCTTTAAGGGCAAGGTCTTTCTAGAACGCTGGTTCCCTTTACCTCCGAATTAGGCTATCAATCTTAGTCCAAATAGTTGGACTAATGATCAGATTGGTCTAAATTAGCTACAGAAGCACTTTATCCCTAATTCTACACGAAAAGGGGCCTATATATTGTTGATTCTCGATAGTCATTCCTCTCATCTTACTCCACAATTTGATAAATTGTGTGAGGAAAACTAGATAATCTGCCTCTGTATACCCGCCCACGCGTCCCACCTACTATAGCCCCTTGATGTAGGCTGTTTTTCGATATTAAAAAAGGCAGATGGAGGGTTGATTAGGGAAGAAATGCGGACCAGGGTGAATTCGATTGATAAAGACGACTTCCTTTAAATCTACCCGATCGCAAGAAAGGCTACGTTTAAAGCTACTACTATACAAAATAGCTTTAGAGGTGCCGGTCTAGTACCTCTAGATACTAATCATGTATTAGAGAAGCTTAACATTTGTGTTGAATCTGTTGATTCTCTCCCTTCTGACCACCCCCTGCGGCCTACTTCTTCTAGTAGTGCTAGCGATTTGGATGCTCTCTGGAGCCTCTCAAAGGTTCAAAAAACAAGTTCTACGATCAAAAAAGAACTAGCACCTTCATCGGTCGCATGATATGTATGTTCGAACCGCTGTTCGGCTTACTATTGTGGAAGACCGCCTAACGAAATTAGAGGCTTCAAATAAGAAGGCTGTCAAGAAGAGGGCTGCGAGTAAGAAGCAGGTATCCTATATAGGCAGTCTGCGGAGTTTGGAGGAAATTCAACAAAGTGTGGTTGTGGAAGATGAAGATGCAATGGAATATATATCTGCGATGGATTGTACTGTAGAAGCTGCAGTTGAACCTACACTTCCCCCTATGCCCCTAATTCGGCGAGTTGTGACGTGCTTTGGGTGTGGAATTCAAGGGCATGCATATCCTAAATGTCCTACGCGTGTTAGATAGTCAATTTATGTTAATTTTTGTTATTAAATTTGATGTTCAAAATTTTGATTTTTTGAAGTTCCAAGAAAGTGGCCGGAGTAACAGGGATCCACGTTACCACTAAGACACCCATCTTTGTATTACGCGTACTTTTGCCACTGCTTACCACCTCGGATTTGTAACCACCGAGTCACTGGTACTCTCATGGGTATTTCAACCCCCATGAAGTTCGATAGTTTAGTTCATCAGAATCAACACTTTTTTCATCTCATCTTTGCATTCCCCTTTCTTGATTCCGTTGCTCTCATTTGATGGTTAATCCTTGGTAATTCATAGCTTGTACAGGACATTCCTGTGAAAAAGTTCCCAAACCAATGCCCAGATAACATCCAAGAACGTCCTCTCGCGCTAGTAATGGTCTGCATTGCTAGCCTTCCGCTAGAACCAATGAGCCATAATTATTAGCTAATGAGGCTGTTGGTTAATCCACTTTAGCCACCTACTACGTGTCCTTCTGGGTAATTACTTCCTGCTAGTAAGCGTTACTTCTAGACTACCTGCCTTGTAACAGTCAATTCATATCTCTCTTCTCCTATTTGCCAATCTCATCTCTGTCCCCGACAGTAATGTCCAGGATCTAGCCCCTATGGCATAGTGGGAGTGCATGAGAACAGGACCGTCCAGCGGCCCCGCCTTCCACGGACCGGTCCGGCCCAGCGCTGGCCAGAGCGGAAAACAGCCCCAGCAGGAATGGAATCCAATGACATTGCGCAATGGATCAACAACAGCTTGCGGGGGTCGCTTCCAAGAAGACGGATTGTTAGCAAACCATTCTGTATCAACAGTAGCCAATGATCTGACTGCTGCAACCTTCCTTTTTTGGTCAATGATGAAACCTGATAAGTTGGGGGCGGCTCTGATTGACAAAATACAGTAGAGAACTGTATCAACGAGTCAAATGCTTCTAAGAAATTGTTCTTCTACAGGGTTGGAACGACACCCGTAGGCTTCCTATGGCTAGTCATCCCGGATCAATGAACTCTGGAAGGTTTTGCCAGAAAATCCTACCGTTAATCAATCGATTTATAATCTATATTAGTTAACGTAATCGGTAAACGAGCGGCCACCCCAACTAAACATACAAATTTCAAATGCATTTATCTCAACCAAAACACCATTAAATTAAATCTAGTAAAATACATCATCTCTCTGGACATCTATTAAATCTATGCCCTGTCTCTCTGCACCCACTGCACCTTATAGCCCGCGTACGTGGTTCCAAAGTCGGCGAAGCGCTTCTTTGCCCGGGGGGGGGGGGAGGTGCTTCATCTGCTTCCACCGGCGTAGTAATTAATTGAGAAGCTTCTTGCATTGTTAAACCTGTATCAGCAGGTATCTGCCTCCGAGATCTGGTACGCTTTTGCTTTTGCTTCTCGTTGGCGGCACGTAATTCCTTGTTTTCTTTGGCGAGTAAGATTGCACCTTGCATTGTAAGACGGAAGCCTTTCACAAGCTGGTTTAATGTACGATCTGATGGGCTAGGCGGGCTTCGAGATCTTGTACGAAGTAAAGCTTTAATTGATGAAGCCTGTCGACGTAGTTCTTTCTCTATAGCTGGTGTTTTTAGTGTAAAATTCCGGCTTGATTCGCTCCCCCTGCTTGGGGGAGGGGTAGGTGTTCGAAGCTGAATATTGAGCTTTGAGATGACTCGATCAGGTACAAATAGTATTAAACCAGCTGCTGCAAAGCTATTTTTAATCGTTTCCGATTTAAAAGCTTTAATTCGTGCGAGAGGGTATGATTCAAGAAAATCAAGCTTATTAATATGATTGATCTGGCTCCGCATTTTGAATTCAACTATCCGACCATATGATCGTTTTAATACCGCAAAACAACTAATATCAAGAGGTTATAAAAGATAGGATAAATGCGCTGGTATAGAGATTGGTATCACCTTATTTTGCTCGCAAATTCCGTTAAATTTAGGTGTTAAATAACTACTATAGCTATTAAGAATCAAAAGCCGGTACCCCCCCTTTATACGCGAAGTACTAGGAATAAACAGCTTCTTAAGCCATCGAAGGCCTATTTCATCCGAAGTCCAACTATTAGGACTAACTTCAAAGCGCCAATCATCCGGTAAACTATCAAACCATAATTTAATAAAGACTTTGCCTTTAAAAATCATATATGGCGGAAGCACCTATCTAGAAGCATTTATATACTCAATCACTATCACCTATTTACGATTTCTAGGTTATAAAAGTGATCGCCGACCGTAGTATTCGCTTCGTATAATAACCTTTGTAGTTATAGTCAATCCTATTGCAAAGCTAGTCTCGTCAAAGTTATAAATATCATTAGGGTCGATTCCAAGTTGAATAATTGTCTTTTGAACCAAATTAAACCACTCCCTAATGATTTTAGGATCTTCACATTTCGCGCGCTCGTAATTATATCGTTTCGAGAATCGGGAGGAGAGGAGAGGATATCGTTTAATATAATTATATACCTATTTTTCGCCGACCGAAAGCACCGGGGTAGTTCCACGCTTTTGAAGAAGATTCGCTATTTCTTGTACTAGAGAGGGCCGGGGAGCTGCTCCACGTGTATCTAGAGAGAGAATCCATTTTTGAAGCGATTCCTCCTCAATTTCAGTCAATTTAGACAAATTGGCACGAGAAATCGCGCGTTGTTGTACTCCGTCAATTCGGCGGCGGAGGGTTGTACGTGGGACCGCAAATGTACGTGCAGCACGAGAAATAGAGCGAATCTCTCCATTTTTAAAAGCCTGGATAGCTAATAAAACCCTACCCTCTGGCTCCGTCAAATTTGACGATGATTGAGAGCGAAGTGGTGGCATAGTGGATGGTTGAATTAACTAAGTGCTAATTGATGGACGCGTTTTTTGGTGGGGTGGCCGCTCGTTTACAGTGACAGCTCGTTTACCGATTACGTTATAATCGATCTGTTTATTAAGCCACTTTTAATGCAAGATAGTGCACGCTGCCATTGGTCTCGATTCACACGCGCTGAATTAGAGCGTTGGGATATTAAATGCACTGATCATCCACCCTATTCGCCTGATCTAAATCCAATTGAAGAAAAATAGTGAATGTATCGATACTACATTTTTTCCTTGGTACCCCTGTAACGTATTTCACATGCGAGTGGCGCACACAAGCGAGCGGCGCAGTCCAAAACACATAGTAAATGCGATAAAGTACAACTTGATATTTCAACAACCACGTTTGCATTTGATCTCATTTTCATTCGATAGCTATTGATAAGAATTTTAAATGCTATATATCAATCTTAAGAAAATCGAAGACGTGCATTATCACGGTATTGAAAATTACAGTGCGAAACGCTAGGAATATATATATCATAACCATAAAGTCATATATATTTCCCAAACTCCCTAGAGAGGCTAGAAACTACCCAAAAAACATCAACCTATAAGGAAAAGCCCCTATAGACCACTGTTGTTGAGATATCAAGTTGTAATTTATCGCATTTACTATGTGTTTTGGACTACGCCGCTCGCTTGTGTGCGCCACTCGCATAGTTAAGTACGGGTGGCTGAGTCAGGCTTCCAACTACCGACCGGAGTAAACTACGTGTCAGACTTCATATTCATTCTTCATCAGTGAACAGCAACGACTAGAAGGCGATGGGCTACACCAATTGATATATCTAGTCTTTTTCACTAGGATGGACCTGTCTTTCTATTCAGAAGGGTCAGAGGATAGTGTCTGTGGTCGATCTGGACAAAGGTCGACCGGAAGCCAGGCCAGCCATCCACTCTGTCTACCTTTTGCGCACTATACAGGGATTAAGAAGTCCCCCGCTCAATCTCCCTCGATGAGGCTCTCAAAATCTCACTGTCCTTCCTTCAGTTCTCCCCCTCACTCCCCCCCATGAACACTGGTTCAACACCATGAGTGCCCCTCTCTATCGCCGCCGCCGACCTGCCGTTGCGTGTATCGAGTGTCGACGGCGCAAAGTGAAATGTGATCGTGCATTACCCTGTGGCCCATGTGGCAATGCGTCCCTACTGTGTGGTTATCGTAATCCTAATAATGGATTGACCCCGTCCGATCCCCGCGCTGGCCCGACTGCCACCGATCTGCCTACCTCGGCTACATCCGAGATGGATGGTACTCAGACTGGAGCTGTATCTAGCTCTCCCATTAACCTCACCCCGTCCAGCAGCGGTAGTGCCGGTGTACCACCACTCTTCACCTTCTCGTCAAGGTACACCTTCCCCGGGGATTTGGAGATGAACGAGAACAAGCCTGTGGACCTTCCTGGGCGCACCGTATCCCATGCCAAGAGCTTGGGTTGTGGCAAGCATTACATCCAATCGTCATTTAGACAGGTGAGCCAACGCAGCTCCTAGGCCAAGTCTCCCCAGGCAAGCCCCTTTTGCTGATAATAGATGCTAGTCAGAGCATTTGAACATTCTGCTGCACAGGTCGGACCATGCGGACGTCCAATCGCTCTGGGATCAATGCACCCATTACGCCCGGATCATCAAGTCAGAGCGGGCCATCAAGTATTACACCCAGCTGGGCCCGCCGAACATAACGAACAATCTGCTGCCCAAGTCGACCTGTGACCGCCTGGTCATGTTCTACCTGCACACCTTCGAGGCGGTCTTTCGGGTGCTGCATATTCCGACCTTCATGCAACAATATGAGCTGTACTGGAACAACCCGCAAGGTGCCAGCCGGGCTTTCCCATCCACCCTCGCTCTTGTCCTAGCCATCGGAGCCTGCTTCGTCTCGGAGGCGGAGGCGGACGAGCTTCAGCTGTTGGCGCCCAAGTGGATCGCTAGTGCGCAGTTTTGGCTCACTGAGAGCTTTGAAAAGTTTGGCATTGATCTGTCCGTGCTGCAGGTCTCTGCCTTGCTACTGTTGGCACGCCAAACAGTCCCTGACCCGTCCGAGCTAGTCTGGATCTCAGGGGACTTTCCCCTGCGCATCGCGGTCGGACTCGGCCTCCACAAGGAGACGCGAATCCATTTCCCGGAGTTTTCGCCTCTTGAGAGCGAGATGCGGAAGCGCCTGTGGGCTACCATTCTGGAGATGTCGGTACAGTCATCTCTGGACACAGGCATGCCGCCATCCATCTCCAGTGATGATTTCGACAGCGAGCCGCCATCCAACATCGATGATGTCGATGCCAGCAATCTGTCCACTGCGTCGGATATCGCAGATGGCTTTACCCAAAGCACCATTCAGCGGATGATGATGCACACTATGCCGGTGCGTCTGCAGATCCTCCGTTATTGCAATGCCCTCAAAAAGCCTCCGGGCCAGGATTACCAGTGGGCCGTGAAACTGGGCATGCAGTTGGATGCCATGTGCCATTCCCATACAGCAACGCTCCAGTCGTATCAGAGAAATACCAACCCCGACACGCCGAAGCCGACTGAATTCCAGATCCACCTGCTGAACATGTTGACTCGTCGTTTTCTACTGGCGTTACATTCGCCGTTCGCGGTAGACGCCAAAGCGGACCAGTCCTTCTATTTTAGTCGCAAAGTGCTCACCGAGAATGCACTCGCTTGCCTCTTACCTCTGCAGTTGGTCCCGCAGGCACCGTTACCCGGGGGCTCCTCACCGGAGAACCAGCAGCACGACCTCCTGGGGTTGATGGTGCGTGGGGGCGACTTCATTCGGCACATGCTGTGCCATGCCACCGCCATTCTCATCGTCGAACTGACCGCTGAGTTGGAGGAAAATGCCTTTCCAATCACAAACAGCCTTTCGCGGGACCTATTCTCCCATGCTATCGAAGAGTCGATGGCTATCTTCCGGCGGCGAATTCAGGCCGGGGAGACCAGTGTCGACATCTATGTCCTGTTCTCCTATGTCATGGCACAAGCTAAGGTGATGAAAGCCGGACTAGCCCCCCAGCGACACAACGTTGAACCTGCCAAAGACAGTTTAAATTTCTGCGGTGAACTACTCAGATTTCAAGCTCAAGTCAGCGCGGTCAGTTCTCTAGGATTGACACAAGGTCTGCAGGTAGCATTGGAGAGTGATCTTGGGGCTTCGAACTTGTGGGATGGCATGGTATGATTTTTTTCTTCTTCTTTCCTATCATAGAAAATAGATCCGATTCCTACCTTCGATCCTGCTCGCAACTCGTGTTGAGACATTGTTGAGGACGACTATCATGAGTTATGGCGTTTGAATATACCTTGTGATTACTTAGATATAAACGATGACAAAGACCAAACCAAAAAAAAAAAAAAAAGAAGAAAAAGGATATAAAAGAGAAAGCAAGCGCCCCCCTTCCATCATCTGGACGAATATCGAGTATATGAGACATTTTCGAAACCCTATTGGAGCCCCATCTATGCCTATAGTCTCATTCCAAGGAAGCTTTCAGCCTCGCTTCCAGCAAGGTCGCCTGCGATACGAGCTCCGCCGAACTCGCCGTAAACCCTTGCGGCATCCAGACTTTCACGAGGTCAAACCCGGACTCATTCAGCAAGCGCTCGAACTGGGCCTGGGTCCGCTCCAGCGAGGCAAAGGAGACCATCATTGTCAGGTCGGCCTGGGCCGAGGGCAGGGCGATCTTCGATTCGGGCAGCAAGGTCTCGTTGATAAGCAGCAATGAATCGGGCGCCATCGCCTCCCGGATCCGGGCCAGGATCTGTCGGGCCTGTGCATCGGGCCAGTCGTGCAACACCGTGCGGAGATAGTACGCCCGCGCCCCTGTCACGGTCTGCGGCTCGAAAAAGTCGTACCCCTGCGGCTCGATCCGCGCGGGGAGCTCCCTTTCCTGAATCGCCTCAATTACAACCGGCAGGTCTTGCAGCACGAGGCGGCCCCGGAGGTAGGGGAACCGTTTCTGGAACGCGATGATATCGCCACCCTGGCTGCCGCCCACGTCCACGAGTAGGACGTTGGACTCGTCGACCACCCCACCTAGTTTCTCCTCTACTGGGAAAAAGTCGAACCAGTTCTGGCCCTGGCGGCGGTGCGAGATCGTCATCACCGTATTGAACGCTTGCTGGTAGTAGGGCTCCCCGGCCAGGAAATCGAAGTAGTGCGATTTGGTCTTGGTGGTATATTGGAAGGGGCCGTCGAGGACGTTGTTCGGATTCTGCCAGCCTTTCTCTTGGAAGTAGGCTGGGAGTTGGGTGAGGACCATGAGAAAGTGCGTGCTTTCGGGTTTGGTTTATCTTTAGTGGACGCAAAGGGACCCTAGGGGGGAGAGAGGGGGAAGAAAATGGAACATACACATGAATGACGGCGGCAGAGAGAGGCGAGCTCGAGATGTAGGCGGCTGCAAGCGGGGTTGAAGCGTAGACGTCTTGCTTAATCTCGTTGAAGATTCCTAGTGCGGATAGGAAACGCATGATGCGCGCTGTATAATGGATTTTTTTTGTCAGTCTTCTGTTGAATATGATGATAATGATGCTTGTGATCTCTTCTGATTATTACAGTACAGAGACGGACGCATCACTTACACACAAGAAGAGGATCGGCTTTAGTTATCTCAGCTAGCTGCGATAGAGTCGCTATCCCTCCACCGGAGGACTCGGTATGTTGCGCTACCGCATCAAAGAGCTTCATATCAATGCCCAATCGTAATGCTATGGCTGGATAACCCTGCAGCGGATAACCACATAAGTCAGGAGTTCTCTATAGTAGTTCCAGCCATGAAGAAAGAAAGCATACCGCGAAGATCGTTCGTAAGGTGAATTCAAACGGGGATTCCAATTTCTTGCGAAGTTGATCACACGCTTGGAGGAGACGCTTCCGGTCTGCCTCATTCACCTGGAAATCTGTTGTAGAGGCTGCAACAGACTCGATCTGTCTGGTCAGATCCGTGAGATTGACGGAGGACATCGTGGTTATCGGGATGATGGGATTGTCTGTTCAATGCTTGTAAGAAAACAAACTTCTCCGGATTTTTGTGTCGTACAGGGCAATGAATGAATGAATTAAAATAGTAGAGCACACTCCCCAATGCTAATAATAGAGTTTCTGTATTGATATTGCAAGTCCCAATACTGCTATTTGATATTCGGGATGATTTAGATACCGTAGTCATCCCCCGTAGGTCGTGAGCTCCCACGGCAAATAAGCACCCAACCCGAGATAAGCCGTACCGCTCCTATCCAAACCGCTCAATTGCGGGTACTTTTCTCCGGATCGTGGCTGGGAAAATCTTTCTCGGCTCCAGTATACATTTGGTGCAAGAGGGGTGTGTTTAATAGGCTGAAGCTGGACGCGCTGCGGCTGGTAGGGTTAGCGCCGGGATATTGTGGGTCCCCAGTTGTCCGGAGTGGGTAACACAACAACACAACAAAGGTATTTTTAGTATTGTAATCCCGGGTAATTCCACGTACGGACTCATTGCAAGAGTGTCAAACATACATTAGCTACACATTGGGGCCAATCCATAAAGACATCTTCGACAGCCCTCCATAATGTATCATTTTTTTCATCTTTCTTTTGGAACATTCACGAGAGAAGCATAAGGAAACGAGGGGGAACTGATCACAATGTTGGAATCCAACATTAATTTCAAGAAGAGGCAAAGGTCCCCGTTTCACATCAAGTCTCAAAAGTCTCTCTCGCAACGAATCCCCCAAAGACGATAGTTGAAGCTCCCATGGCCGCTGTCGAACAACTGACTTCAGATACTATCCTGCTCGTCGGTGGTGATCCTGTGGGACCTCACTCTGGCCACTGTCCTCGCGGATCATGGAGCCAAAAGCGTCTTGATCGAGAGCAACTGCACCACGACGCGCTGGCCCCATATGGATCTGACGAGCACACAGAGCATGGAAACATTTCACCGCCTGGTCATTGGCTGGGGCGGACGACAACTGGTGTCGTCCCACGAAGCGGACTTAGTCCCCGTCCGACCTGATGCCTTGTTTCGTGGCACAGAAGTGAGGTGTGGGATGCGGACATAGCCCTCGACATTCTCTCTTAGGCGGTAGAGAGGTGACTTTAAGAATGTTTATATACATTCAAACCGGGTATGATATTCCAAGGTGCACAAAATGACTTCTAAAAGCAAATAGTAGATGCCAGCCACTCACGTCTCGTCTCGGTCTTGCTACAAAGCCTGTCTAGCAAATTGTGTAATCCTCTTTGAATAACTACATGTACTGGATGACTACTCTCTTCTTTGAAACACAAATCTAGCCAATGAACTTTGCCATGAATGCCACCTCCCTCAAACATAAGCCACCAAGCCGACGGCAGCCAACGCCGATGAGCCGACAACCGCCCATGCGATCTTAATAAACTGAGACTTACTATCCAGCGTGTATCCGGTAGTGGAGATAATATACCGGATACCATTAAAGAGATGGAAGGTGAAGGGCCAGGCGACGAAGAACTTAAGGATGACCTTAGTGGCCACCGACAAAGAGCCAAAGGCCGCGACGAGGGCGGCTGACGACAGATCCCAGCCGAGCCAGGGGGCTATCAGGTAGGAGGTGCCGAAGAGATACAGGCCGCCGGCGAGAAGAAGTCCCGTGTTTCGCTCCATAGCAGAGCTGACCGAGTGAACCTGCCATTTATAGATGGCCAAATGGGGCGCTACAGGCCGCCGGAGGCGTTGGCGAACGAGTTCTTCCTGGGCGAATTCCGGCTTGATCACTCTTAGTGGTGTTGTGACGGGCTTTGTGGTCTGCATTCTAGAGGCAAGAGTCGGGTTGGTTAATACATATCCACGTTCAATCTTCTGCATATCATACCGGACTTGTTGTTGCCACACCAGACCCATGATAGGCCTAGTAGACGGGGATACTACTGCGGCGCGGCGTAGACCGAGCATAGACGACGCTGGGGACTGTTCATCAGCTGACATCCAACACAAGGGGGGAGTGGATGATACAACGGAAGACTCACCTTTCTGTATCAACATCATGTTTTTCTGGATGGAACCCGCCATGACGGATGGGGTGTGGATGCTTCACGAGTAACGGATAGAGACAGAGAATGAGCTGGGAGAGGAGAGAAAGAAAGAGTCAAAAAGAAAGAAGGAGAGCACTGCAGGAGGAGACAGCCTAGCGTTGTTTGACCCCTGCTAACATCCACCGGCCTTGTCATTGGAATCTGAGGCCTTACATTACGGGTACGTAGGTATTATGTAATTTATGTATTTCTTGGTTAAGTTAATGTGACACACAAGTTTAACGGAGCATGGCGTCCATGCCGCCAATCACGCTCTTCTACAGAGTAGAACTGGTTGCGGATTTGATATGGATATATACGTATCATATAATAGAAGGTAGAATAGTCTTACATAGGGGACAATGGGTGCCCGCGTGCCGCCCAAATTTAGGATGAAAGGTACCTAGGAGGTAATATGAAGAGATATATATCTTACCACTACCATCCTGATCACCTTATTTAAAATCTAACATCTTCCATAATCCTAACTTTTCTTAGTAAATTGGATATTTTATTTTAGGTATGGATAGATATAAGCATTCTCTACCTATATATAAAAATATACCCCTACGTTTGAGTAGGTAGATATGGTTTGATAAGCAGGCCTTAGATCGCATGCACACAATGGATTAACCCATATCCATTACCAATCCAACTTAAAGTGCGAGTTGGGTCGACCAGTTTACGCTACCAATACGGGGTTCCTCGACGCTCGACGCGGATGGGGAATGATTTCGCCGCCGCTCAGGAGCTGCTGCGCAATGCGAAACCAGCCCGCGGTAAATTCTCGGCCTCGGGCTTTTGCCGCGCCCTAGTAGGGCTTGTGTTGAACATGGTCAATGAGAGGGTCGAGTTCGGCTTCCACACTCCGCCGTGTATGTCCATCCAAAGGAAAGAGTTCCAGGTTCAGACACTGGACATACCGTGACCCATCGGGCATACAGCTATTCTTGTACTCCGGCAGGGGCAATCCCGGTGCATCTCGTCTCCTCGAACCGTGTGAGTCTGTTGTCCGGCCGCACTGCAACTCCAGGGCCGTGTCTGTATCGGCTCATTCACCCCGGATGGACGGGCCAGAAGGCTACACAGTTACGGAATGGGTCAGCAAGTGTTTCTCGGGAAAGTGCCTCACCAGACGGGCCTGCCGGTCTTTGTGCAGTGGCCATGGGCTCTCACGGTCGCACGGGGCCCGAGTGACGACTGTACTGAATCCCCTACTACGCTACTCACTCCCGGTGCCGCGCTTCGACGAGGGATTCTTTGGCTTTCGCGATATGCACGAAGTTGCTGCGGGTATTGTAGGCCAGGCTCTTCATAACCGCCTTCAGCCCTCGGACCGGGCGGCCGAAGATGTCCAGACGATCTCATTCCTTCATCACTCTAACACAGTGAAATGTGAAACTGCCCATCCACCAGTTCCACCAGCATTTGGAGCGCCTGTATGGTGGGGAGTTCCAGGACGTCGAGAGAACTCGGGCGGCTGGCATTGACCCCTTGATTAATGACTATCTCGAGGCTGAGGGGCAACCATTCAGTTTCCCTACTTGGGCGAGGATTAGATCTAAATAGTATCATGGTTCATTCGTGAAGAGAGTTGATTCAACTTTGATTCTTTGTTTTCTGTCTATAGATCCGTAAATTCAAACGATATTGCAAATAAGTCTTGTTGATTCGGGTGTTTCGAACTGACAATGTCAGCCACCACTACCGTACTACCACTAACTACCGCTTGGATATATGTAAGCTCGCACTGCAGCCGGATCAGCCTCGGGTTTCCCGAATTGAGGCTGCTCTGGACTCCAAGCTCTTGATCCTCGTTTCATGGCAGAAGCAATATCCCGACTTTGCGGGCCTAGACCGGATTATTCGGCAGGATTTGCTCTCAATTTCCCGGCCATTCTAGGTGACATTGAATCATCCCACACATCCTGCATTATATACTCTATGCCGCGGACAAGGGGACTTGAAACTAAGTGCAACACATAGATAGGCAGACAGAGAGAGAGCAAAATGATCACCTCCGAAACGAGCCAGAAACACATCCTCATCGTGGGCGCAGGACTAACGGGGCTGATCCTGGCTCAGGCGTTGAGATATTTGAGTCAGACTCAGAATGCGGCGAACAGTCAAGTGCGATACTCGTATTCGATCTACGAGCGAGATCCGTATGCCTTCGCTCGCGGGGCAGGTTGGAGCCTCACCATCCACTGGGCACTCACCGATCTGCATAACATTCTGCCCCCAGACATTCTGGCTAGCTTCAGCGAGTGCCTGGTCAATCCTGGCGCTGCCGAGCAGGGCAATCCAGGCAAATTCCAGTTTCTCGATCTCCGAACAGGGAAGCCGAAGGAGTCCTGGCCGATTCCTGCCAACGCCGCCTCGCGAGTCTCCCGCGAGAAACTGCTGGCGCTGTTGATGAGGAATTTGGACATTCAGGTACGATCCGCCCATCGTTGTCATGCCCTCTCACCCAATGGCTCATTTCAAGCGGTAGTGGTCCAAGAAACTCGCCGACATCACTCACCCTAGTGACTCCTCGGTGACGGCGCATTTCACCGACGGGAGCAGCGCCACGGGGGACCTGCTTGTGGGTTGCGACGGGGCGCGCTCGATGGTCCGTCGCCTCCTTTGTCCAGCCATCGCCATGCCGCATCGGCTCCCCGTGCGCCTGATCGGGCTGCGCGTACTGTATCCCGTGGAAAAGGTGCGCCAGCACTGCGAGCCGATAGACGTGCATTTCTTCCAGGGCGGTGATCCCCAGACAAATGTGTATTTCTGGTTCTCCTTCATCCATCTCCCGCGGCTCACGGATCTGGACACCCATGCCACCTGCCAGATCATGATGAGCTGGCCCTATCAGCCGGGATTCCTGGGCCACGAGACCCCGACGGAGATGCCCGAGAGCAATGCTGACCGTTTGGCCTGGATACGCAAGTTGGCGGCCGACTGGGCCGAGCCCTTTCGGCAGCTAGTCTATGATCTGCCACCTGAGACGGAGTTGAGGGAGATTGTGCTCGAGGATTGGCCGCCGAGGTTGGATGCGTGGGAGCATCGTAAAGGAACGGTGACGCTGGTGGGTGATGCGGCACACGGGATGACAATGTGTAAGTCCGAGCTTCCCTTGGTTTATGGGTGTATTATGGCTTAGGGCCGAGGAAAAGCTAACGGAGAAAACGCAGTTCGCGGAGAAGCGGCTAATCATGGGGTGATTGATGTCTCGGTGCTCATTAGGCTTTTAACTGCTAGCACGAAGGGGGAGAGCCCGACGGAGCTGGAGGACATTATCCAGGAGTATGAGTCGGAGATGATTCAGCGGACGCAACCTGCTGTCCTAAAGTCGAGGCAAGCGTGCATCGACGCCAATCATTACGCACGAGTGAAAGGGTCCAGTCCTTTGATTTCTAAACGGGCAATGAAAGATTGATCATTGGGTAGATAGTAAGACTGGGGGGAGGGGAGAACAGTTAATGCCTTGGGTTCGAAATAATCAAGAAGAATCAGTTGCAGAAACAAAACTCATATAGGATTTGATACACTGTTAAGCGAATGATGACTCCTGGTGATCCTTTGCAGCTATCATCTCGGTTCCCTCACCATCAGCTACTTCATTCCTGGATCTCTGCTTCCATGCTGCCCCGTCTTCCCTGCGCCCCTTGAGCATCATAGTGGTCACCACACTGCCCAGAATCAACATCCCCCCACCCACGCTCACCCAGCTCGGACTCTCGCCCCACACCACCGCATCCATGATCAAGAGAAACACAATCTGGATATAAACCATACTCAACGTCCGGGGGCTGCCTCCATGCTGCATACTCGTGGCTAGCAACATGTGGACGATAAACCCAGACACCCCCAGAAACACCAGCTGCGCCCACTCCGCCGGATGGGGCATCCTCCACGCGTCAACACCGGTGATGGCCAAGCTCAACGCGGTCAACCCAACGACCCAGGTCGCAAAATGGTTCACCGTCACCGCCGGATCCGCATCCTGGCCGATCAGCGGCATCACGACGTAGGCGGCGGCCCCGCCTGCGACGCCCACCAGACCGGCTCCTACGGCCGCAATCCGCTCGATCGACCTGGTCTCTGTGGAATGCGGGAGGCCCCACATCCCACCCATGCAGAAGAAGCGCCTATTACTGGTTTCCGGACGGATGTCGGTGGCAGCAAACTGGATGTGCTCCCACGGCTGGGAGACGAGGACCACGCCCAGGAAAGAGACGGCGATTGCGAGTTGCTGCGTCCGCGGGAATGGCGGCACTCTTCCCAGGAGGCTGGAGGCATATGCGGCTACCATCGGGGAGAGGAAGTTGATCACAGTGGCCTCCGAGAGGGGAAGGGCACGTAGAGAATAGTAGAAGCCCCAGACTAAGGAGTGCGGCGATGGAAAGTTAACGGCCCGGTTCTTTCTCATTTAGTACATATGGTAGGACTTACTCCCAAAGACTCCTGTGATGCTTCGAAGCGTCACCAGTAGCCAGAGATTGGTTTTGCGAAATGGCACGCCGGGGATTCGGGCGATAAGTATCCAGAGCCAGCTCAGAGTTATTACGAAGCTCATCATTGTGATAAGAACCTTTGGCCCGGGATCAGTTGGGTTGCCAATTTTCGTCTGAGTCTGGTTGACATACCTGTCCTGTGTCCAGGGCTTCATTCTCTTGAGCTGCCGTCTGTAGCAGTTTGGCAGCTACGGCGGTTAAGGAGGAGATCAGTTGAGCCAGGGCCATGAGGAGAACACTACGGTTCTGTCGCCAGAGTTCCCTCCATCTCCTCTTCCTCTTGACTTGGGTCTGGATGCTTTCTGCAGACATCGGACCTGTTGATCTCAATGATTCAAGCCTTCTGTGCAGCCACGTTACCTGGAAGATAATGTGACGGCATACCAAGTATGCCATATACCTAATTAACCCAGGTCGATCCCGGTACATATCCTCCTCTGATCAGGAATTCTGCTGCCACCTCCCAATCCCTCTGCCGCCGAGCAGGGATTGAGCAGAAATCATGCTGTTTGATAAGTCAAAGCGGAGTCCAGACGCCCTAGAGGCTACCCATTTAAGACCGAATTTCCCGAATTCTCCGTTCCGAAGCTGAATGGCCACCACGCCCAATGGGAGTGGTTACAACCAGGATTATCATGGAGAAACCCTTGGTCAGTCTCTTCTAAGCCTTGCGAGTGAATTTTCCGATTGCATGAGACCCCTCCAACATACGCCAATGGAGGAAGAGATGAGAGGTTGGGGGCGGTACTAACCATGGTGGATCGATAGTTGCTGACCCCCCCCCCCCCCTTCTTAGGTCCTTGGTATAAGACGAGTGCGAAAGCCCACTTTGGTCAGACGGAGTTGAATGATTGAAGGCCCCCAGTCTCGCGGTTGAATCACTGAACTGCATAATGGCGCCGATTCCGGAGAAGTATCACTTGCTCAAAGATGAGGATGATTCCTCGACTAGTCATCGCAATTCCGGTGGAGAGGAACTTACCGGCCATGCATACCTCCAGCGACAAGAGGAAGAGGGACTCAAATCCCGGTTCTCGAGGAAAGTGACGCTGGTGATCGTGGCCGTCCTGTTTGGAGCCTCCATCCTCTCCAATATTTTGATGGCACTGGCTTTGACAAAAACCCACGACCATGTGCCCTCCCAGCGAATTACTAAATATGGTGAGTTTAGCTTCTGCTTTCCACTCAGCCTCTGCTTGCATTTCGTGTTTCTGATTGAAGAATGGTCGGTCCTCAGCGGGATTGGCGGATGATCATCCGGTTGCGTGGCAGGCCTCCACCCCGTACAGCACCGAGAGCATCTCTGAGAGTGACCATGCCTGGGTCAACATGGAGATTGACTATATCAATGTGGCGCTTTCAAAGGAGGAGGCCAAGGAGAAAGGTCTCCCTCCGTCGGCAAATTTCCCGTGGGATACTAACTACAGCGTCTACATGATTACTTCCATGCACAGCCTGCACTGCCTGGTACTTCCCCCTCCCCCCCTGCCCCTGGTCATACCATGGTTGTAATTCATCTAACTCCGAACCGTAAGAAATCTCTCCACCGATCCAATCTCGAATACCGCAAAGGAGTGAAGCAAAGCTACCCAACGGAGCATCTCATCCACTGCCTCGACAACGTCCGTCAAGACATTATGTGCGCCGCCGACGACACCCCGCGCTACATCCCCGTCGATGCAACGGGCACGGCCACCACTGCCGTCGGCCAGTACCGCCAGTGCAAAGACTGGGAAAAGCTGCGCCAGTGGAGCAAGGCGAATGACGCCTGTTTTAGTTACAACGAGCTGATCCGCCATGAGCTCCTGGAGGATCAGCCATTCCCCCACGCGTTGCGGTTCTGCTCCAGGGATAGCAAGTTCTTGCCCACCGTGCAGAAGTTTTATAATCAGTCGAGCGACTGGGTGCCGGTCAAGCCTGATCCGCCCTATCCGGAAGTCGGGGTACAGTTCGATGGGTATGATCAGTATACTTGAGTTCAGATCATTGATTAAGAATAGGGATGGAAGAGAGTATATAGGCTAAGTGGGCAAGGGGATCACGATGATTTGCTATTCTAACGTGGCCCCCTTCCTTCATGGGTTCCGGCTCCTGTAGCTCTGATTTTTGTGACGGAGATTTTCCAGATTTTGTTCAGGCCATCTTGTGTTATTGTCATCAGCTACCTGTACTAGGTAATGTCTTTTTTGGTGTTGGTTTGTCCTTTGCGGAGGAGGACACTGATCCATCGTCCTTTTCACCCCTCCCCAAAGGTCTTCTTCAGCTGGGACTTGATTGTAAGCTGGTTGATTAAGCCTGTCATTTCGTAACTCGAGCTATAGATGGCCGTCAATGTAAACCAATGGAAATAACTCCAAACGCCTTCAATAGGTTGACACAGCCTCGTGATCTACAGACGTGGCAGTATCACTTTTGAACACAAAGGATCCGTGCGATATGCGGATATGCTTTGTTCCGTGCCAGTTGGGATCGCACGTTTTCCACCGAGCGCAGGTACCACGAGACGGCTTTCCGGGGCTTCCATGACCATGAGAATTCCAAGGAAGGGATCAAAGGAAGATAGGCAGCCTTCTTGTCCGCATGGGCCAACAACAGCTCGCACATACGAGGAAAGCTTAGACAAGACAGGGCACACCACGCCGCCCAGCGACAAAAAGCCATCCGCGCGTGCGACTCGTTTCCTGCCCGATGAGGCCGAACTCTTGATCGAACTGAAGGAAAAGCGAAGTCTCCAATAGAATCGGATCGTGAAGCATTTTCCAGGGAGGACGAAGGGTGCTCTTCAGGTTCGGTATAGTACGAAACTCAAGGACCGAGGAACTGGAAGTCGGATTGTCAGGGTTACATGTCCTGCAGCTGTGGCCGTGACTCCAGAGGAGACAAGTAGTACTTTCGCAGACGGCAAGACAACAAGGTGACGAGGCAATATGCTTGCCAGGATGACGGACCATCGTATCTCCAGGCTGAGCACATAGGATCAGAAAACCCGAGAGCGATTGCTACGATGTGGATGGCTTGTTTGAAGCACATCCACCAGAAGATCGAACGCCTTAGTTTAGCCTCCCTCCTAGGAGGCACCAACTTTGCAGTGGTGGAAGACAGTAAATCTCATTAGAATACCCGGTTATGTTCCCCCGAACCTAAACAAAAATGCAGTCAATATGGCTGATGGAAGAGCCACAATGAAGTTTCCCAACCCTGAACCCCCTTGAACATCACTCCGAAGAGTTGACCACAGCACACCAGTCAACACGCTCGCCAATATGGTAAGCATGATAATCCAGAACATCCCCTCGCGATTCACTTCTTCGATCACGTGTGCCGTACGGAATACGCATGGACCATCTCAGAATGCCACCGCCTTTGTCATACCTATATAGAAAATATCGATAGCGGGGACTCTTATAAACTTGGGTCTGCTAATGGAAGGGGGCTCAATAATTATAAATGTTATTGTACTATTTAAGGTTATGCGGTATTAAGGTCTGATTAGTGAGAACTCTATAATGTGGGTCCCACCACCGGTAAGTGGGTCTAGAAACGGCTTTAGGAGAAGAGTTGCTAGTGGCCTAGCTAGCAAGAAAAGGAGCTTATAACCTCTTAGAATCTAACTACAATGGAGGTCAAATAAAGAAACAGCGTGTTGAATTCCGGGAGCAAAGGGACGGACGGACGGACGGACAGGAAGGAGTGAGAGAGCCCTGTCTACTACTATCTAGCAAACAGGATCTGTCCCAACTAGTGCCTTATGGTTCTGGCATCCAACAGTTTGCAATGACATCCAGGTTTCCATCAAAATCAAGAATCTTCAAATATAACAGGAACATACATTTCTCGACATAGCCTCAACATAATGACTCAGGTACAGGAAGAACATTTATAGACCCCCGCAATGACTAAGAAGAGTGACATGTTCTTAAACTTGTAGTACAAGCTCTTGCTTATCCCTGAGCCCGACAGAGTATCATTCAGTATCCTGATTCTGGGGCTTGATGGCGCAATCTAGCTTCCCGCAGCAATCGATCTTATTGCAGCACTGATCACCATTCTTCCAGATGCAGTTATTCGCATCATCCCTGATGTTACATGGCACTTCCATGAGCTCGAATTCAATGCACGAGTCCGTGGCACGGGTATCTAAGCTGATCCCTGGACTGATATCCGGACAAGCCTGCGTGAGGCCGTCGTTGAATCCGGTAAGACAATATTTTCCGCAGGGCCACTTGGTGACCGAGAATTTTCCGGCGTTGGGAAATTCGGGTGTCTTGCTAATATGCCCGCCGTTCTGTTTGTTGTCGAGCCACTGCCCAGCGTCGGTTGCGGCTGGTAGCGTGCCGTGGAGGTCTTTGATGTAGACCTCGTTACTGGGGTTGATAGGGAGGCCAGGAGTGCAGATTTCGTCTTGGCAGAATTGGAACTTGCCGGGTCTAATATACTTACTCAGTGCGGTTTCGGAGTATTGATTGGAGTTGAATGTCAAATAATTGCCCGATCGTCCCGTGAAGAAGTAGCATTTACCTGCACATTATTAACCGCGTTGCCTTAGAAAAACAGCAGGAAAAGAGAGAGAGAATTTCAATTGTGTTCACATACCAGTCTTCAAGCCCGACTCACACTTCGCAGGCTTACAGGTGCCATCTACAGCCTCTTCCTGGCCAGTAGGGCACCGGCATATCCCACCGACCATCTCTTTGCCATTGGGGCACAACCTTTGACAGGTCTTACCGTCGAAGGTGGAACCCTCCAGGCAGCACTCAAATCCCACACCCAAGGAGCCAGTCACATCATGGCCGCTGCCACAACAGTGCCATTCGGTGTCTTTGGATCCCTTGAGACTGGCACCCGGCGGGCAGCAGGTGCCGTGCTTCTTGTCAGCACTCAGGCTTAGGACCCTGCCGGGACCAGCACATATCAAGCTTCCTGTGAAAGGTCCATCAGGCCATGTAACTTTGTCTCCGTCGATGATGAAGTTGTCGCCAATATCCCTCACCAGGACTTTCTCGGCGTATGCGAAGTGAGAGCGCAGAAGAAGAACGAAGCCGATTAAAGAAAGGCCGTGCATGATTGTGTGATAAAGGTCGAACATAAACAAGCGATTGAAATGATCGATTCAAAACGATTTAGTGGAAGGCTTAGGCTCTTTATATATTCTCTTTCTGACTCTGGAAACTGGCAAATCACTTACCTTTTTATCCTGTATCATGTTTTTAGTATCTCCCTTCCAGTTTAAGTTGCGACAGGAAATGTCAAATGATCACTCAATCTGCAAATGATCACTCGATCCGCAAATAGCTTGCCGAGCTCATATGCAAGAGAGCTAGCGATGTAACAGCAGCCAGCAAAAAAAGCAATGACCTGAATCTTCTGCTGACGGGGCCTCGACTATCGGTAACGCTACAATTGATAAGAACAGCATTACCAGCAAAGGCTATCTCCAAGCTTCTGAGGCCTACAGTCATTGTGTTTGACTTTGCTTCAGTTCAATCTACAGATTACCTTTGTAGGGCAGACGGTGATCAGGAAATAGATAGCTGCATTTGCCAAGCGCACATTGAACTTGAGAATAATTACTCGAGCGCCACATGATGACCTGAACTAGCCCTAGTGTGCGCTGCCTACACAGGACAAGTTTCCCGAACTTGAAATTGTGATTCTTACGTTCCATTGGTGTATGGAGGCCAAGGGTAAGCTGAGATTCTACCTGCAGAAGCCATAGGCACCAACGCTCGTATCCAGCAGTTTGCCTGATACAGTGGCTGGCGCAGAATCATGAGGCATTCTTCACATAGCATGCTTGATAGACTCTCTTTCCTTCCTTGGCACCAGACATTGGCCCCATCGCTGACCCTTCTGTGAGACAGGCCCGAGATAGACGTACCTCTGCAACCTGCTCCCGCGCCGACGATCACCCGACTGCCATCCGTGTTTGTGATTGCAAGTTGACGCTGGGGATCGACGCAGCTAGACCTGGCTGTGACTTTCGTAGAGGATCCGGATGGACCCTCGACCCGCCAAGAACCCTCAATTTTATACAAAGCTATGTAAAGCACAATTTATAAGCAGGTTATTTCCCAATTAGGGTGGTTTATACATACATAATTTTAGGGGTGGGTCTAGGGCCCGGAATTTGGGTTGCAGCCGTGTCTAGACGCAGCTGAGGGACATGTTGACCCACATATCACATCTGGATGCAAGCTGAAAATTGCGGGGGATAAGGTAGGGATGGAGTACAGAGGTGCCAAGTCAAACCCTTCTATGCAATCTGCCTATCGCTAATTATTGCCCTAGGTAGGCTCTCAATTTCAGGTGGATTAATATGGCGTACAGATCACCGCGTGGCGTGTGGTCGCACTGAGTCGTCATGTGGTGAATCCTGGGGACTGCTCATATTGTTGGACCTTTTCCCATTGATTCAAATTGTAATCCGGATGGAGGAGATAAACACTGGAAAATATCTAGAGATACATCGTAGAAGTAATAAAGTTAAATAGAAAATCGTGCGAGAAAGAGTTTGTTGCTTTGGCTTGTTGTTGTACTTTTGTCCCCATTACTAACATGCGCCATGCACCATCCAAAATGCATCCAGGAAGTAGCACTTAGTCAATTCAACCACCCACTAGGCACCAACTCGCCCAAATTCTCTAGAAATTGAATAGGGTGTGTGACCACGCTTTCTCTGCTTTTTCTCGGCTCACCTGCGGCTCACCCGCTCTGATCGTGGGATTCATTGCGTTTGTAAAGTCGAAACCCCTGGAGTAGAAGAATTTGCACGAAATTTTACGAATGGCTGAGGATATGAAAGGAATTTCCGAATTCAACCACTATGGTTGAAGTGAATGACCATATTTCGTGGTCAAATAAATAGGGCACACCCGACGAACGAATGCTTAGGAGAATTCGATTAAAATAATTGAACCAACTAAATAAAAACATGACTAAAAAGGGTTTTTACTAGTGGAACACCTCGCAAGTAAAAGAGGGACAGAGTTCAGGAAAGGTATGAAAGAAGCCCCGTGGCGTGGAAGAGGTCTCTGTATCAGTCTAGAGCTTTTCCAAGGAGTAGTCAGGAGCCAATCAGCCATTGGCACCTCTGATCCATTGTTACTAGCCCCCAGCATTTGGTACCTCCCAATAAGAAGCTCCGTGGCAAGCCCTAACGATCGTCAATAGACGGAAACTGTGATAATTGGGCAATGGAATATATACGAATAGATAGTACAATACTTCTTCTTCCGCGATATCAGTCGCGCGAGTCAAGCTCTATACCAGTTAGCTAACGTCATGCTTACTATGGAGTGGTGACCATACCTCGAATGCTGCCAGCTGATTGTGAGGGTACATTCCCTGGGAGCCATTCTTTTTGATAGACAGATCTAGTAGGACTACTATAGATATTGTAGTGCACTGGAAAATGTCATGTTGCGTTAGGAAAGGAAGAGAACTAGCTACTATGAGACTAATTGTACTGGGAGCAAGCAAGCGAGGTCACGGGACCTCTAACACTTTTCCATCAGGCTGGCCAGGCTTCCCTGGCCGTTGAAAGTGAAGACATTTTTCAAAATGAACCCTAGTCCATGTGTAGCTTTAGGATGACGTGATACGTCATTGTTTTACACATCAGTAAGCAAGTCAGCAAACCTTCTAATAGCTTCATTACTTCGATATGTGCTAAGGGATGCATAATTGGGAGTTGCTGGGTCCGGAAGGAGATGATCGGAGCCCGTTCACCCTTCGCGCCTTGCTGGACTGTTCGGCGTTGACTATATGATCCAACAATGAACGTAGCACACCCGAGGAAAGGAATTATCCACAAACTCAGAGCCAATGCCGAGTTCCCAGGCGGCCAATAGCTGATAAATATTGATCTCGCAAGTTGGCGGGTCTTGCAAGTTCTCCGAGCATTGAAATGGCAGGAAACCGAACATGGAATGATGTCAAAGCGTGGTCTAGCATCTTCCCACCTGTGATCGACGGTATGAGTCTAGAATATATAGCTCATACTAAGAGCGGTGGTTAGATGGAAAAATCATGAATAGGGGCTCGCCAGGTCACCATATCGTTTAACGGATTCGAACGATCTTCCCAATTAGTGTTTTAGAGGAAATTTAGGGGATCACCATAGCTCCTAAGTGTTTAAGAAACATCCTATATTTTAAGTTCTTAGGATTATTAGGATACGCTATATAAAGAATACTAGTTGTCAGGCTAGTCCTCTTGGTGAGTTGAATATTAGGAAGCGTATGGTATTCCTTATATAGTGTAAAGATAAAGGTCCTTTCAATTGTGAAACGGGATTTAGTGGATAGGACGTATATAGTAAAGATATCCGATCGCACAATTATTGATTTCGAGGAAAGGTCGTAATAACCACTCGTGGCCAAGATATCTAATAACGAGTCATAGTAATAAATCAGAGAAATAATATGATCAATAAATTATAGCACTACCTGTGCCGAATCTTCTTACTACGGCGAGCATTCGAATATCCATCTACTCTACCATCTCCAAAATTAATTATAGAAACCATAACCATGACAGCTCTTATAAAATTTAAGCTAAATTGATCAGGGTATTAGATTATAGGAGGCCACATTACGCGATGGACCGTTCTTATCTACAGTAGGCTATCTATTGGATATGGCTTCGAGTGATAAGCTTGATATAAACTTAATCTGACTAGGTCACAGACTATGTACAAAAGCTTGGAGAATAGAAGGAGTGGAACAAGCCGATTAACAATAGAAGTAGCAGATAAAGCGCTGGTATAACGGAAGAGTGCGGGAACGGGCTATATGGCAAGGCCATAGAGTAAGAAGCAGCCCAGCCCCTTACATATCCAGTTCTCTAAGCAGGTTAGATAAAAGTTGTGATCCTTGGCTGAATCTCCTCCAAGATTTCTCCCAATTCCTTCCACACTTTTTGTTGTGCCTGGTATCCAGCTTCGCTTCGGACGAATGTTGACAGTACTCCATTATTGACCTTGCCATCTAGCATGTATGCACCATGGCTTTCCCAGCCTGCCTCTGCAGCCGCGAGTATGGTCCGACTGCCAACTTCTGTCTGGCGTCCGAAGAGAAAGATCATCAGTCGGAGCCCTAAACCTGCTTCGCGTGACAGTTGCGATTTGCAAAGTCCCGGGGTCAACATGTTGAGAATGACTCCCGAATCTCCAAGTCTGGTGGCAAGCTCCCTCACCACCAACACTTCCAGGAGCTTCGAGGTAGAGTAGCGCTCTCGCATATCTGCCGTTTCCTTGTTGTCTAGCGCGACAAACGTATTGTCTGCAGTGCACTCTGGGAAAGTTGTCCAGGCGTGAACGTCGCTTGTCACGATCGAGAGACGTGGGCTGGAGGTCGGGAACTCTTTCGCCGTTGCTTTCAACTTAGGGAGGAGTAGAAGGCCCAGCAGGAAAGTGCTGATAACGTTGACAGTAATAGTACGTTCATGGCCTTCGGAGATATCAAACGTGTATGTTGCAATCCCAGCATTCTCAACCACGATATCCAGTCGAGGGAGTCTTGATGCACGATATGCAAAAGTCTTGACAGAATCAAAAGATGCGAGGTCAAGCTCCCAGACCTCACAGACGCCAAGTCTGTTCATTGATGCCTCGATTGATCGCTTTGCTGTTTCTCCTGCTGAGAGGTTTCGCACTGCAAGTATCACTTTAGCAGCATTGAGACGGACGAAATGCTTTGCTGCTTCAAATCCGATTCCGACGTTTGAACCGGTCACAATGACAGTTTTGCCATCGTAAGACTTTGTTGGGTACGCTGGTGTAACAAAAGCTTGGGAATAAAGAGCGCCCATGATGAAATGAGTGTCACTGATCTTCGCAGGAGAGGGTTCCAGGCTATTGTAGTAGTAACCTCCGGTTATGAAGAACCCGGATATAACGAACGGAAACCGGCAATTGACTTGAACCGCAATTCAGGATTTAGTGATACCTTCTTACTACAAGCTTCTTAAATTTAGAATTTCCGTCAAACAAACTCCGTTATAAATAGGCTCAATGTTTACTATATTCGCAATCCGCATATCTCCACTTTATAAGCTATGTGACGCTAGCACCCACGTGGGCAGCCACCCAAACCGCATCCAAAGCTTCCAACGTTGTTTACGAGCGGACTTTAGACCGTAGACCGAGAGTTAGAAAGTTGAAAGGCTTAAAGCTTTAGTCCGGGCGTAGTAAGTCCGAGGAAATAAATGAAATGAGGAGAATATCAAGACGCATCCTGGCCCACTACAAGGAATACCCGCTTTGGATCGTCGCGCCTACGATGTGGGTCACCTCCCGAATGTCTCGAGTGGATGCTTCCGCTGACTAAACGGCTCAATACCTAGGTAGACCTCAAGGGTGTTTCAAGGTCCAGATGGTTACCTTTAATGAGTCGTTACTTTTAACTGGTGAGTCATAGCGAATTGACTAACGTGAGTCAGTTGACAACTACATCGTTATCTCTCTCTCCCTTTCTCTCCCTTTCTCTTCCTCCCCGTGGGCTTCTCCCGGAATGTTATACATTCTTTCTAAAACTTCGTAACTTTTCCGATATGATCTCGAGACCTACACGAGAAGATACCCCTCCTTCATGCGACGTATTATTAAAGCCCACTGCTCCGATAGTAGAATGTAGAAAGTCTCAGAAGCATTGAGCTTCAGTAAAGTCAGTAATCTTCTAGATGATGCCTATCCCCACGAACTACAGTGTATGGAATACGAGGATCACATTCCGCTTCCTGACAACCTCCTCAAGATTACACGTAGTATAATATTGTGAATTCATAGATTGGTGACAACGCGTCGTCGGCTTCCAGCGGATCCAGTCATTGAACATGGTGTAAGACTGACTCCATTTCATTTGGGCGGAGATAATTTAACAGACCCTATCTCCTTGTGTGAAAGGGTTAGAAGTCTCTTTTGCTCCGATTTCGAATTCAACTCCACTCGAGCAGCAATAAACAGACCTCTTTGTTTTGTATCATGTCTCGAAGGATGCAAAGTTCCCGTTATTAGTCAGCGGAATATATGATCTCAGAAGCCGGGCTTACCCAGGTTAACTATATTCCTTGTTTAACACATTTTAACCAGAGCTTGTAAGCCAGTTTTATCCTATATAAACAATGGTACAGTCCTTATTGTTAATACTTCATGACCATCTTTCATCAATTCCATCTTTACATCCGTTAGACATATCTGCATATCATGTTGGCGAAGGCAGCTAGCTTGCTGACAGCGGCAAGCGTTGTTGCCATGTCTTCCGCAGCGAGTCCTATTACCCAAAAGATCTCGAGAGATGTGGTAGTTGTTGGCGGTGGTGCTGCCGGCGCCTATGCTGCTGTTAGGCTCCGTGAGGATTACGGAAAGAGCATTGCGTTGGTTGAGAAAGAGGCACGGTTGGTGAGTAATTATGAAATAATCCCTTCGTACATGGTGATCAAGGCCTAACTGTTGTACTCATTTAAAAGGGTGGTGCTGTTGATACCTGGACTGATCCGAAGACTAACACCCCTTACGAGCTGGGTGTTGAGGCCTTCCTGGATTATGGCAATGCTACGCAGTTCTTTGAGCGGTTTAATGTACCGGTGCATGCGTCTGAACAGGAATTAGTGAACACCCGGTATGCAGACTTCAGCACTGGTAACTTCGTGAACTACACGTCGCCCACAGCGGCTGAACAACTTGCTGCATTCCAAAAGTATGCGGAACTTGCCGAGAAATACGAGGACATGATGTTGCCTGGACTGTGGAATTTCCCCACAGCCGGCAACATACCCGAAGATCTGCTTCTAAACTTTGGCGATTTCGCGAGGAAATACGGCATCGAAGCTGCTGTGCCTACAATCTGGGACATATCGGCTGTAGCCCTTGGGCAACTGGAGACTCAGCCGACCTTCTATGTTATGCAGACATTCCCAGCACCGCTTGCCCGGGTCTACACTGGCAAAGGCCGAACTCTATATGTGGCGTCCCACAGGAATCAGGACATATACGACAGAGTGTCGGACACCCTGGGCAAGGATGTCCTTTATTCAAGCACTGTCGTCAACGCAACGAGAACATCCAACGGTGTTAGCATTATTGCCAAAGGTGCGGACGGGCATCAAACGGAGATTCGCGCAAAGCGTTTGCTCATCGCTATCCCACCAACTGTACCCAACCTAACACCATTCAAGCTCGACAAAAAAGAGCGCAGCGTCTTGGACAAGACGACATACACGCAAGCCTATGCTGGTGGAGTTGTTTCTTCGAACCTGCCTTTGAACACAACAATCATTAACTCGGCTTCTGCGAATTGGCTGGATTTCCCGGATCTGTCGCTCCTGCAATGGTATAAAAACGTCGATACTCCCGACCGCTATCATAAGGTCATGATGTTTGGAAATGAGACCCTGAATAGCGATGCTTCAAAGGCGCTGGTTGAGCAAAGTTACAGACAGTTGGTCGGTGCTGGCACTCTGCCAGAAGCAAGTGGCAAGGGCCTTGAATGGCTCCACTTTGCAGACCATGGATCTGTAAACATCCGGGCCTCCCTCGAGGACTTGAAAGCTGGCTTCATCCAGGAACTGTATTCTCTCCAGGGCCATTTGTCAACTTGGTACACGGGTGCAGCTTGGTCTGCGCAGTTACATACTCCCACATGGGCTTTCTCTGACTCGGTTATCCCACGACTGGTAGAGGGCTTGTGAAATGAATTCTTTCATGGGGATTCTAACCATTGAATTACTTACAAGATGCTCTCAGCTCTCATTGGTTGTTCTCTCACCCCTCATTTCCTATGTATTTGTATATTACCTTGGGCCTGTGCTGCAACTTGGACCAGTTTACTCTAGGTACGTCAGCACAATGCGGCCCTTTCTATCAGACCATCGGAAGGGACAGGTAGGCATTCAACATTCCTGCTGTTTATTCACATTCTAGACTTTCCTTGAATCAATCAACCTTCTGTCAATATAATTGGTTTCCTTACTAAATTAGATCCATATTCGCATACCATTCCATACTGCTTTAGGTTGCCTTAATATCCTCTCAAAGCCCACTATGAACGAGTAGTATACAGCGGCCACACTTTAGAAATGATAAACAGTTAGCCGACTATCAAGATTGCAAGAGAAAGGCTCGCACCCTCAGAGCACGTAGTCCATCATGGAGACCCAATGTGCGCAGAATACCCATCGTTCGTGCGAGCGTCAAGTCCATCTTCGGAAACCTGCTGACAGTGTCAGCCGATTCTTCTGGGCATATATCTCTAGTAGGGAAATCAGACTGCGTAGTGGTAAAACTTTTCTTAATCAGGACACTACAAATCCTGTGATACGCCAGTGCCAGGGCGAGAATTAGCCCAACATGTCCCCCCACTAGACAACATTGCTATCCAGGTTACCTTCGGCGGTCAGGTTGTCAAGGTTCACTTTCATATCCCGGCAAGTGGTAATTGAATGAATAGATGGAGCGAATTGAATTGGATGTATAAGCTTGGTCGCAGCTATCACGAATACTCCTTTATCCATCCTGGATGCATCGTTTGTCCGATCTGACTCAAGGTAGAAGCCTCTCGTAAGTCGCTCTTATATTCGCGTTATTTCTTTTAATTAGTCTCTCTACCATATTATAGAGGCTTCTAAGGCTTGGGGGATGATATTGTTATATTATAATAGGTTATTTAAAGGTTTGTCTGCTCTCGTTAGCTAGGACCACCCTCTTCTATACTTCCTACCTTAATCTAGAGCGCTACCGGCCGAGGTAGGGTCATATATTTGTTTATACCTATAGCCAAGCTCACTCTTAATAATTCAGCCTACACTTATTAGTCGGATCCATTTCCCCCACATTTACTACTATATCTAGCCTAGTATAATCGATTTGAGTGATGGCTTTTGCTGCCCGAGTGCTCCGCGCCACTCGACTATGCTAAATAATTTGTTTAGGATCCTAAGCTATAGCTGTTACATGCCAAGTCGATCAATGAAGAAAGAGTGCCTTTCAACGAGAATAACAAAGATGGAGAAGAGAGAGAGAGAGCAGGTGGGGGGATCTCTGTGGTTTAAATAGTAGAGCCTCCCACGTAACAAACATACTCTCTTTCCCAATTAGGACTAGTAGCAATCTGTAGAACAAAGAAATAAGCAAACATGCATATGCATGTGATAAAGCATGTAACAAAGCATGTGATCACGTAGACCGTGACAATAGCCGGCGAACAATCGTTTGGTATCCGACATTCGGTTATCTATATCTATAGCCGGTGCTAAATTAAGATCTAAGAGTTTAGGTAGAGTAATTGACGAAAGGCTACGCAAGGAGGAATGAAAGACAATGATGCATTCCGAGCGAAGCCCTCACCGAGAGAGAGAGAGAACTATCTGGACCTGTTACCCGTGGTGGCCTCAGACACCCAAGGGTAGTTTGCCTCTCCTAAAACCCCAGTCGAGCTGTATTGCCTTGCTTAAATAGCATAACTGAGTCACTATTATAATATGGTAAGTCTTTATAGAACCTTGTAGGATCTTCTATACAGTAGTTCAAACAGAGTGGAGGCTCTGACGGTCTGGCAAGATCACTGTCCACTTGTCCTACTTCAACACCCACGGAGCTTCCGTTCACAATTTTGTTATGCGCAATGAAAGGCTACGGTGGTGTTTAAAACACAGTACTAACACCGGTAGGAGATCATGCTTGTTTATTTCCACGTATTCCGCTCCCTGTCGCGATTTCCATTCTTTATCAACGCCTGTCAAATACTAGTGATCCCTACGATTAAGTTTAAAGATGACGCGAAGCCCATATCACGTCGATTACAGCAGTCAGAAGAGCTCGGACCATAGGAAATAACTAGGTCTTTCAAGACTGGCTAGGCGTTATAGTATTAATAAATATATTACTATTTACTGATTGTGTTGCCTTAGACCAGTAGGAAGAAAGTAAACCCTGCCCTTAATGAATATATGCAATAAGAGACCTGGCACACTATATTGAAGCTACATACAAACCCTGCCACAAAGTCTTTACCCACTCGCTATTTCCGTACTAAGGCTAACTGACTTTGAAATCTATTCTCTCAATGAATTTATATGGCAATAATTACTTAGATAATTTTTAATAAAAGCTTAGTATTAGATTGACAAAATATTCCTTTCTGGATGATCTGATATATGTGGCTGTTAAGTGGTAACTGATTGAAATGCAAATATCAAGGTGAATCTCCATCATATATAGTGGCTCCTATACTAAACTGGCGATTAAAATCTTTTGTCAAGCTTTGAAAATTGACCACTATTTACCTAAAATACTTTCTGGGATGATTTATATATATATTACCCTCGATTTGGAACGATAATGAATATAAAAATAATTAAAAAACATGTTATTCTATAAATTTATTAAGAGAATAGGATTCAAAGTCAGTTAGTCTTAGTACGGGAATAGCGAGTGGGTAAAGAGTTAATAACCCCTATGTACATCCGGGGTGACAGATAGGAGCACAATCCAACAGTCCAATCATATCACGCCAATCCAATGCTAACTAGCAAAGAAACCACCGCTAAATTCTAGGAGACCTGCGAAGAGGGCGAATACGAATAGGAGACGCGAACCTGAGCTTACTGTTGCCGAAAGGCAGGAGCAGAGCCGAATGGCCAATAGGACGAACCGAGAGCGTGCAAAGAGGAGGAAGGCGTTGGCGAGAAAGGAGATGGAAGAAAGGACTTCAGAGTCCTAGAAGTACCGCCAGCGAGGCTGTGCGAAAGGTGGCTGTGTTAAGGGTCTCATGTCTCATGGTAGTCAAAATTCCCAGTGCTGATGCGCCGCCAATATGGTATCGAATCTAGAATCACATGTTGGAGCTGATTCGTGCTGGGGTTTACTATCGGAATTTCTTTATCCTGGCCAGATGCTGGTTTCTGCATTCCAACGATTCGAGCTGGAAATAACAGCCAAAATGCCCACATCTCAGGTGCTCATGCCAGGTACTCGGAACGGAAGAAGCGGATATATATAACGGGTCTGGTTGTCACACGCTATATCACATGTTTGTGTTGGAGTGTCATCGAAACTCAAAAGCCGTTAAAGAAAGTAATACTTGAATCTCAAACGGCCAAAATCCCTATGGTGGGTAATGGGGGAGTGGAAGAGGCGTGAAATAATGCCGCAAAGAAGTAAAGGAACCAGACTCCCGCGAATCCTGGAGAAAGTACCCCCGGGGCTGGGATATCAAATGACGACAATAGACAGAGACCTGGGTGGAATTATGGAGTATTATACAAACGAAGTGAACAAAGCCAAAAAAAAAAAAAAAAAAAAAGCAAGCCCATGCATACATCGTTCGATTACATACCTAGTCTACATCCATAGATGAAACCCCGAAAGGCAGACTAAGCACCTGCAAAAAAAAAAAAAAAAAAGAAAGAAAGAAAGAAAGAAAGAAAGAAATCCATCCATTCATTATTACCCTTCCTCCACGAATAACCCAATTCTTAAAACGTAATTCTCAGCTCTCCACACCTTGAAGCTGAAGTCATACCGAGTCTAGGCATATACCCAAGCTCAGCACAGCAGCCAATCTTCAAGCTGCAACTTACAAGAGAGCGAGGACACCAGCCAGAAGACCAGCAGCAGCACCGGGGGCAACAAGGCCCATAGCAGCGCCGGTGGAGGCAGTGGCGGAGGCAGCGGCAGAACCGGTAGCGGTGCCGGTGGAGGAAGCGCTGGTAGTCAGGCCGGTCTTGGTGGAGGTCTGGGTGCCAGTGGAAGTTCCAGTAGAGGAGGTAGAAGAACCGGAAGCTGTACGGAGAGAGATATCAGTGCTGCTTTTGCCATGGGTGGGGAGTTGAGTAGTAGGGGAGCTAGAGGTGAAGTTTCCGGGGAAGGGTTTAATGGACACGTCCGGGGTGGAAGTACCAGTGGTGGAAGTATTGGTCTCAGTGGTACCAGTAGAGACAACAGATGCAGAGGCAGAAGAGGAGGCAGAAGAGACAGTGGAAGATGTACCGGTGGTAGTAGCGCTGGAGCTCTTGGCTTCGGTCACATCGAACTGCTCGGACTGGGCGAGGATGCCAGTGTTCTTGGCGTCAGTGGAGAGCAGGTTGATCTGGAAACCGGAACTATAGGAGTGTTAGTGGACTGTACATAGATACAATCGACGCGCCACATGGGTGATCTTACCCCTTGGTGACACCCTTCAGGCCGGAGGCAGTGTAGGAGCCCTTGGAGGTGTCGATGCCAGAGGCAATCTTCTCCGAAACAGTGGGGTAGACGGCATTGTTGACAAGGACAATGTCAACGGTGGAGGCGTCGGTGCTATAATGGGTAAGCATTGGCTGCTATTGCTAGTGTAAGGCGTGGGGGAGCATAGTCAACATACTTAACGGAAGTCCACTTCACAGTGAAAGAGCCGGAGACATCGACGTCGGCACCCTTGGCAGGTTCGGTGATGTTGACGGCTTGACTGATTGTTAGAGAGACTCTTGTGCCACATAGTTGATTACATACCCGCAACGGAGAGGGCCAGAGGCAGAAGAGACAGAATGGTAGAGAAACGCATCTTGACTGAATTAAAGCGAGTGTAGTATGTTAAAAAAACGAATGTATGTTGGAGCGTAAAAGAGAGAGAGAGATGCAAGAGGAAAGATGAAAGTTGGAAAATTATTTAGATACAAGGATCCATGTCATTAAGTACTGGTGAGCAAACACTCCATCTGATATCGCACAACCTTGGATGCCTTGAACCGTCAACAATGTCTCTGACATCCACCTACCAATACGGAAATATACACCTGAAAATAGAATTGATATAGTGAACGTATCCAGTTTTAGAAGCATTCTAATAATATTTTAATCATTTTATTACAAAACGTGGGAATTCAGGGTCCGCGTGAGCATTCCGTGCGGGTGAAGAGTTAGAGCTTCATGGTTCGGATGGCAAGCTAGTTTCAGGCGCAAAATCCTACTTCCATTTGTAATATATTACTCTATTATTCGATGAGACCTTTATTGTGTACATAACATGCCGGGAAACATACAACATCTGTACTAGGATGCCGTATATTCCGTATGTTCCGTATATAGTAATTCTTGGACATTCGGAGCTAGCCGTCCACGGACATGGGTACCAACCAACCATGGATTTTGTCCGCCGATAGGGCCGATAAAGAAGACCCTAGACAAGCTTGGCAAGACACTAGTGGTATTTAGCTCGGTCTTGGCAGAGGCGTGAACACGAACAGCACGATGTGGCATGGAACCATCTTTTTTTTTAATTACGGCTTTTTATTTTCAAGGTTTAAACAACGTTTGGACGTTCTCTGTATTTTTTCTTTTTCAAAATCTTCGGTAACTTACCAGCCCATTTAACCGGAAATGCAACGTGGACCCTTAATGCCTTGAATGCCCGTGTATTTTTAATCGGTTAGCTCGGGCAGGGAGTGCTCGCCACAAATTTGAGAGAACAGCACTGGCTAATAGTTTTTCACAAAGGACCGCTAGTACCGATATGTTATTCTGGTGTCTCAAAATGAATTCGAAAATTAGCACACCGTTTTGGTGTCTCAACGGACCCACCCAGGCATCAATTTCAGGATTGAGACATCTGTCAATAGGACCTCGGACTATACGCTAAATAAACCATAAGTGGGAGGCACTATTGGAGGCGATAAAATGAGTGTCTCACCTAAAACCTACGGGCGCATTACTGTCGCATTACCCGACAAAATGGTGTCATTTTTACACATTTAAATATGTAGTTGAATTGCGGATGTCAGACCCGAATTAGTACTTTTAGTTTTTTTGATGTTTTACAGTTTGGTGAATACGAGAAAGATACAGCGCAAAAAGGGTTATCACAAATACTATTGTACAACATGCTCCGTACATAATTTCCACATCGGAGAACCCGCAGAGCCCCGAGGATGTGACTTGCGCCCAACCCCAACAAAAAGATTAGTTATCGTAGATATTGACATTACTAGACATCAAAAAGTTAGCCATCGAGCCACAACCTAAAGCGGTATCCGCGTGAAGGGGGCCCGGGGGATGGGAAACGTATACATACAAGTCCCTTTTGAGATTATCCCGGTGCACTGTAGCCGAATCAACCCAGACACTGGCACTCATCCTCTGAACACCGAAATTTCCATAGCCATCTTCATTGATAATAACAGGTTTCATGTTGGGATGTAAAATATCGCTCCATTGCTCATGTGCATGTTGTTGACCAACATACATGCGCTGCGCGCCCGGACCGGCGTTGCTGATAACACACGCAAGTCCGGATCGGTGACGGGCGTTTCCGTAGCGAACGAATCCTGTATCGCGGTTAGGTTTGGACCGGTGGATTGGTGTTCCCCCGTAATGGGGCTCAGCAACCAGTGGAGCAAGGATTAAGCGAACCTATGCAGTTGGGTTGGTTGAAGTAATCTTGTTGTTCGCCGTAGGCGTAGAGTTTGCGGGCTTGCATTAATACGGGCAGGTGTCCATTGCAACTTGGCGTCATTGGGCTATCCACATTTGCTCGGATACCGTACAGGTCACCGTAGAATACGCATGGCTGACCGTCTTTGCGGAGGAGGACCAGGGCGTATGCTAGTAATTTGAAGGATGGTGATACCGGGGTCTGGGCGTTCGTTAGCTATGGTCAGTTCGTATAAATGGGAAACTAGTCGCCTCACCTCAAGCATTTGTCCTGGTTGCTGCGATGAGTTAGAAGATTAAAGATGTAGATATGCTAAGATCCAGCCTCAGTTGGTACTTACCGTATCATGATTGGCGACAAGGGTCTTGAGAGAAGTTAGATGAGTATTACTCGTCGGGCGTCGGGCATCGAAAAACTTACCACAGCGTGGTCCGGCTGACACTGTACCAGTGTATCTTTGAAAATACCGCGAAGGTCTGGTGCCTGTGCATGGGACAACTTGGAGAACCGCTCCAGGAGAGGTACGTCATATGCGATGAGATCGTACTCCACCTGCTCGAGGTAACCTAGAAGCGACGGTAAATGTCCAGTCCAGAACTCTCCTATCGCAAAGAAGTTCGGGTTGGCGGTTTTTCGAACGTATTGCACGAATGCGCGTTGGAACTCGGTTGAGAAATGCTTGGCGGCATCAAGTCGCATTCCATTGAGGCTCAGGGATTTGGTGATCCACGTTCCCCACTGCAGAAGATCTGCGCGGACTTCAGGGTGTGCAAGGTCCAGATCGGAGAACATCAGGTAATCATAGTTTCCATACTCGGTGGAGACATCTTGCGCCCAATCCTTCTTGGGTGCGACGATCTTGTAGATCGCGCTCTGCTTGCTCTTGTCATCCCAATCGACACCGCTGAAATGTTGCCAGTGGTACTTCATTGTGCTGTACATGTCATTGCGACCGGCGAAATCAAACCCTGTCCAGCCATTGATTTCGGTCGGCTTAGATATATTTAGGTCTCGTCCTGTTCTTTCAGTCAGTGAATGGCCGAAAATCCATGATGAATTGAATATCAACGCAAAGAAGGATAAGGTGTGTCTCACGTTTAGGATCTACCTTGACAGCCTGGAAGGGCTCTGGATAGTCGGCGCCAGCTTTATGATTAAGCACAGCATCCCAAATCACACCAATGCCTAAGTTTTGGGCATGGCACATCAGGTCTTCAAGTTCGCGCTTGGTACCCCATTTCGTAGGAACTGCGCCCTTCTGATCGAACTCCCCAAGATCATACAGGTCGTAGATGTCATAGCCATTGCCATTAGCATCCATTCCCTTGCATCCAGGAGGAATCCAGATCTGATCAACGCCAATGGCCTTGTACTCTGGCAAGGCATTCTGCAGGCGGCGCCAATGCTGCCGGTCAGCGGGAACATGCCATTCAAAGGCTTCTAGTATGAGCGAGTTATCTGGAGCAGTCCATGATGGCAGCTGTTCTAAATTGGCAGCTGCTTCTGTAACATGTATTCAAATTAGAGGTTGAAACCGCTTTCCAGGGGGAGACTGACCTTCAATCTGTTTCCATTTCTGGCCTTTCTGTCGAGATCCACACCATAGGAACGGCATCGCGGGTTTGTTGCAATGAAAATGACAAGTCAAGCTACGTCAAGTCATGGATTACAAAACTTGCGGGATATGCCACATCCCTTTTGCGGTTAGGCCCCGGATGTGGGGCCGGACTATTTTTAATCGGCGAACGGTGTAAGGTACAGGTTGAGGCAGGTTTGCAACGGTGGCAAGGTGGACCTCCAATTTTGTATTAGCCGGGAATTATTCAAAATGTCTCAGTTGAAAATTTCATCCATGGAACGCTGGAACTTTTCTAGAAGCTCCACCCGAATTTGATTGGCTTCCGCCACCATAATGCATGACATGTAAATGTTAAGGAAATCAGGGGAAAGCCCATAATGATACAAAGGCCAACGTATCAACAGGAAAAGGCCAAGAATATCGCCAAAATAAAACTAGATGACAAAAAAAAATATCGCACATGAAAGGATATCTCCGCGAACCAAGCCGAGCCATTAATACAGCTCACCGCAATGGGAAAAATATGGGAAAAATATGGGAAAAACATGGAAAGTAAATGGAAAAAAAAAAAGAAGAGCGAAGGTCTTTCGAGGCATTTCTCTCAAAGGAACGTCACGAATATGCCGCTCGCCACTGCTAGCAGGAGGGTAGCTAGACTGGTGCTACTGGTAGTTCGGATTCCAGCCGACATTGAATCACTGTGAGTCCTCAACATAGTGAGAGAAATGTTCGACTCAGGGTAGCCACAAAGACCGATACCGTCCATATATTTCGTGGGGTAGAAAACCCGAGGCTCTCCCTTGTTCATAGGAACATGCAACATGCCCTGGTTGTCGACAGTATAGTTCGTACAGTCCAGAACATTCGTCACCGGTGTGCCGGCATTGTAACTGACTGCCATGTCGATCTGGTAGGCTGAACTGGTGGAGGGTTGAGTGGACAACACCATGACCACTTGTCGACCCTGGACACCTTTAGTGAAAGCAAGCTCACTACCACCCTGGAAGATCGTGTGGGTCGAGTCTTCGAAGTAGTCTGTACCCAAGTAGGCTGCGTGGTTTCGGACGCGATTCAGTTTTGCAATCAGCTTGTAGAGCTCCGCGTTAGTGTCGTATTTGGTGAGCCAGATGGCTTCTCGATTAACAGGCACACTGTTTCCCGACAGGTGTTGCTCTTGGCCTTGATAGATCATCGGGATTCCATCAAATAGCATGGTAAACACCAAAACGTTTTTGGCCGTCTGAAAAATGTATCATAATTAATAAAAGGGATCATTCAACCCGACAAGGGCACACATACCACCATATCCTTGGAATAACTAGCAATTCGAGGCTTGTCGTGATTTTCAGAGAAAGAGGTCATAGCGTTGACATCTGGCATTGAGATCCTCATGTTCTCGACTGCTTGCGCCAACAGGGATGTGTTGCCATTGGTAAAAGCAGCTAGGATTTCGAAATAGATCGGATAATTTGGCAAACTGTCGATATAGTTACTCTGGTAATCTTCCATGATGCTGACTGCCCCTTCAAGAACTTCTCCGGTCATGAAAATGTCG